ATTGAACTTGTAGTAATTTACATATTAAAGCTTCTATTCTAATCATACTGAAACGATTATAAAACATTTTGTAACTACTCCAAATAATCACAAAACACAGAATAGAATAAGAGAGGGCATCTCGTTTATTGATGAAGCGAGCGTAGAGCGTTACAATAAACAGCGTTACAGTTTTACTCAGGGAAAATTCAACAGTAAATAAAATCAGAAAAAATTTAGGGTGAAAGAGATGCCTCGAATGGCAAACAAAACAAACCTTAAATAGTCTACTAGCCCCTTGAGATACCTTACAAGCACACCTTAAATACTTCTGCAGTATTAAGCAACCTAATATACATACTCTTGTGAAACTAACAAAACGTTACAAAATATGTTTGAATTCTAATCACCGTGAAACGATTATAAAATATTTTTTAACTAATCTAAATAATCACAAAACACACAATCGGAGCGGGCATCTCGTTTATTAATGCCCGCGTTCGAAAATAAAGAAAGAGAAATGGCAAACTAAATATGTAAACTTTTATACACCGAGAGAACAGACTCTAGTTTATCCTTAATATAACCGCCTTTGGCTTGATCCGTTTTCCACCACCTTCCATGACGCTTAAAAAGCCGATCGCTAACGCCTGCTTTAGCGGCCACTGAATCACCTCCCGCCCTTAAACTGTGAAAACCAAATAAATTTTTCGGATAACCTAATTCAACAAACGTTTGTAAAACTGTTTGTCTGTAAGTAAAGGCGAGTAGCCTTATGAAAAACACAAACAGCGAAAAAAGGGTAACGAAGACGACAAATCTAAATTAGCAGCGTAGAAACGTATCTGCGAAGCAGATTGAAAGGGCAAGAACCGTACCCTGTTTTTGTCAACAAGACTAGGCACCATCCCTATAAACATCACTTTTACTTTTGTTAACATAAATCTTGACAAGAGGATCGCAAATCTGACATTGCAACAGCGTAGGCTAGCTAACTTATTATAGCTGAGATAAGCGGTATACGCGGTTACGCAAACGGTTGCTAAACGAAGATCAGAAAGACTACAGTAGCATTAGGACCGGCATACCTATTACAAATATCTAAAACATAGCGGGAGTAACGGTTTTTTTTTTTAGAAAGAGGTTTGGCAAGATCTCTTTTAGCTGCCTCTAGTACGTTCTTAACCAATTTGGAATTGCAGGGACTGAGAAATTACAAATTATGCGCGCAATTAATACCATAGCAAGCTGACTCAAGGGAAGAATAAGGGGAACCACCCTGAATCAGGGACTCTAAATAGAGAGCAACTGATATCTCGTCGGATGGCAGGCAAGCGACCTCGTTATAAGGTAAAGACTATTCCCTGAATTTCAGAAAACTCTTGAGTAACGCTCCGTCGTCCAAGGAGCCTTCGCTTCATAGGTACGCAAGGGAAGATCTGCGGCTAACTTACGAAGCTCTAGATTCTTTAGATGAGCAATCTTCAATGCAAACGCACGTCCACCTTAAAGAAACATAAACATAATAAGAAAAAGAAAAATAATTATGAGCAAAGGACTGAGCAAGTTAAGAAAGAGGAAGAAGCCTCAAAAATGAAAAGAGTCAACCAGCCAAAACGGCTTACATACAGACAGCTCATTGGAGTGAAAACGTACAATCTTCATGTACCGGCAAAAACTTGTGCGTTCGTCGTAAAGCGGTCCAGTGACCCAGCTGCCCAGCGGCCCAGCGGCCTAGCGACCAATCGGCATACAACTCCACAGCAACCTATACAGATTCCTCCTGTACAGCCCCGTCGAGCATCGGAATCGAATCAGAAAAAACATTGGGGTTCTAAAATATCAATCTCTGACTGTGCAATCATCATAATCAACAATCTTACTCGAATAATCTGTTCTCTCATTCTGTGTACGAGGTATCCACTCAACCTCAATGTCAATCTTATTGTCTTTAGCGGTCTGAAATCTGTCGAGCGCCAAGACATGCATGCAAATGCTCATCCATACTTCCAGAATGAACAGTCGAAGGAACTGCTCGGTTATCAGTAGACCACTTAACATCGCAGCCTGAGAGAAGGTGTGAAAAAATTTTCAGAGCAACACTGACGCTGTGAATTCTCTCCAGTAAGGTTCTGATTCATCTGTAATGAATCCCAGCAAATATGTGAGACAGGCGTATCATCAATTGCAACTGAAGGCAGCTCAGTCAGTTGCAATAGAATCTGAATAAACAATTCGAGATGGCTTGCGAACAGTATGGAGAAACGACCTAGAATTCAGATTAGAAACATTATCCTTCCAAAACTATAAGTGTTTGCGGGAATGGGTCCAAATAAACACAGGAATCCTACCCTTGCCTGCGATCGAGAGCCTTGTATAGGCTTTTGGTCATCAGCTTACACACATTGCCAAAAACAAGTATATTAGAAATACTACTTCCGCTGACAGAGGCTTGCTGGTAATCTACTTTGAAGGAGCACCTTTTCAATTCTCGCTCGTAACCTGTCGATTTTTTCCACAGGAATAGATAACAAATTATGCTTTGAATCCCACTGATAGCGCAGCCATCTGAGAGACTGAAGTGGGACCCATATGCCGCGCGGCTTCTAACACTATTAGCTACAAAGCCCGCTTGGGACAAATCTGATTTCACACCCATAGACTGCGAATAACAGTCGGGAAAAGTTGGACACACGCCTAGCGCATCATCCAAATAAACAACAATTCTAATAGCCTTCTGGAGACGCCAATAACGTACTAAGTGCCTCAGAACTTTTGTAAAAATGTAAGGCCCGGTGGAAGTATCGAATGGAAAAACAGTAAATTTATAGCGGAGTTCTCGCCCGCGAAGCGCGCCAGCAGAGCACCATAGGTAAGAAAATGAAGCAATCTACCCATCCGAGAAAATTTGGTAATCACGTGACCGTACACCGACCGAGAGACCGTCCGTCCGCACGACGGGGATATCAATATAAAATAACTCAATCTACAAGTATAGCAACCCGAATGCAGCTCGAGGTTATTTTGGTGGGAAAATCGCATAGCCACCGGCGTCTTGTAAAGCAGAGACAACTAAAGAGTCAATACAGACGAAAAAAGAAAGCGGAAATTGTTTCTGTATCCCTGTTGTCTCAATTATTAAGCTTAGATAAATTGTCATTTGGAATATAGAGCAAGAGAAAGTGGGCGGAAGGCCAGCAAAACTCAACGAGAAAAAGGGCGACAGAGATCTAGAGCGAGAGATAAAAAAACAAACGAGACATTTTTCTGTTGGAAAAACAACATGAAAATTTTGTAGCGGCGGTGACAAAATAATGAGAAATGCAAGCGGCCACCAATGCAAGATGAAAATGAGCGGCAGTGAAAAAAAAAGTGAACGAGAACACGTTCGACATTCCTCCATAAAGTGTGTAACTAAGATAAGAAGTTTCTGGAAGTTTCACGTTGTAGCCGTGCAAAGCAACGGCAAAGAAATGTACAAAGTGCATGTATAAGGTTTATCTCAAAAATTTCTCCTGGCAACCCTTTGTATGCGCTTATTTTAAGTAGGTCCCAGCCTAGGGAATCCCCATACAATCTTAGAAGGAATACCAACATTGTATCCAAACAAACCAACACCGACCGTTTTGCACAGTTTGTAACGTGCAAATATGCCACCTATTTGGATTCCTAAGCGCTTTACATACTTATTTTGTATTATTTATTACCTTAGATTCCCGTTATTTCTGACCCTACCTGTAATTCAGTTCTCACTGCAAAAGGTAGCAATAAACCAATTTATTATTATTATTATTACAAAAAAAGTGTGCTGCACGTGCAAAGTTGCTTTTTTGCTAATTAGACTTATTGTTGTTTTTCACCGTTCGCCGTCGTTGCATGCCTTCGCCGCTTAGCATTACACGATTTTATATTTTGTTTGAACAAACTATAAATATTATCGAGAGCTTCGCTTTTAGCCCTGGCTAAATCTACATATCAAAATCGAATTACCCCATCCTTTGACGGGAAAAACCTAAAAAAACTTGGTCCTGGGAAAAATGCCAATATGAACTGGGGTTTCTCGTTGTGCAGCGCAAAATTATAAGACGGAAACAAAGATTTTTTGTACAGCTTTTTTTTCCTCTAGCCAAAAAGCCGCTTGCTGCGAAGGCTAACATTTTTTCATCATCACTGACAGCTTATCATCAGTGACGGCTGGAAACGTTTCCTGATTTTTTAACTCTGGCTTTTCCAAGAACGGAAGCGAGAAAATTAATCACCACCTTTGTGTAATTTGCTGCGTTTGAAGAGGAAAGTCAGACAATGGACAATCCAGGTAAAACGCGCCTTAGTGTTGTGTTAATAATTTGAATTGATTCAAAGTAACACTTTGTTTTTCCGTTCACATATGAAACTTAATGTAAAAAGTAGATTAAAGGGAGGCATATTTATGAAATTTTAATTAATTTTAATAGTTTTAAAAAATAATTGTTCCAAGTTAAGTGAAATTTCAGCTCCATGCGAGATCTCTGCTTTTAGGTTTGGCTTAATTGATATACTTGATTCTGTGGTTTAAGCCATTTTCGGTTTTCACTAGCAGATTATTACAAGGTAACTCGTATGCACACACAAGAAGTTTTCTACGTGCTGTTTTTGCTATACTATAAAAGTCCTTTATTTCTAATTACCTTTTGCTACTTTAATCTAACTTAATTGACAGTCCTTAATTAGTTAGCGATTTTTTCATTGGTGGATTATGTGCCACTATTTGTTATTACTTAGTATCAATTGGTATAAAAATAACGTATTATGCCTCTTACAACATTTACAACTCGCGAGAAAGCTCTTCTTAGCGACGTTAGAAAACAAAACAATGACGTTCAGAGTAACTGGAAGAATTTTGTAGAATGTGATTCACATTGCCCTACATTTATTGAAGCCAAGCGAACAGATATTTATACATGAATTAGTGGCTTCACTAGAAGATAGAACACTGCTTTGGTTTAGCTTTCATTTGCATAAACGTAAAGAATTTCTTCACAAAAATTTAATTTTCTCTATTACTTCCTTATATTAGACTTAGGGCCCAAAAAGCAAATGAAAATTTCAGATTTGTAAGCACTTGCCAAAATTCGCTTGTGAACAAGTAATGAGTAGAATATATATTCTAATCTACCAAAGGGTGCTATGCTTTACCGTATAAAAATATGCTACTTTTTCTTATCAAAATTAAAGGATTCAACAATTCAAGACTAGAGTACAATTTTTGTTAAAAGTCACTCTTTCGTCCCACATCAAATTACGTAGATCGTGATAGCAAGCATCAATAAAAGTTGGAAGTTTGACTACTAGACAGAGTAACGTTTTGCTTATTCAGTTTGGATGCGTGTGAATAACAGACCGATTAGAGATCAATATTCAAGGAATAAGGCGTCCATAGATAAAGCTAGTAACGGAAAGAATTTTCTAATTTTCATCTACGATCTAGTCTACTCAACGGAGCTAAGCTGATGGCAGTAATGTCTTCCTGCCATGTCTAAGCAGCATACTCCTCCTGTTCCACAGTCTCCTGAGTCTTTGCATGGCTTGAAAGCCGTGTAATATGGAGTCCTCAAAGGGCAGACTGCTGATACTATATTGAAATGAAATAAAAGTCAAGAAATCAACGTGGAGAACAGAATCGAAAACAGGGGAAAAGAAAGAGTTACTAGGTCGTCCGATAATGGAAAACTGAAGTAAAAATGTGTGGTTTTTGCTTTAGAACTCTGCAAGTAGCCTCCCAATCACCATTTTAGAAACCAGAAGGAAACTGCGGCAAGTTAACTTTCGCAAAGACATCTGGGACTGTTACTGAGGACAGAGATAAGAAATTGGCCAATAGCTGAATAGCGCGCCCCTGGTAACGATTCCACAAGTCTTTGCAAAAGCTAACTCGCCCCAGTTTCGTTGTCGTTTATAAAGTGTCGCTGTCACATTAATATTGGCATCACCGCGTCTTGGGCATCCCCATTCCCAAAACCCTATTGATATGGGCATCTCCTTTTCATATTACCTTAGCGTCCGGCGATTTGGGATACCCATTCCCAAAACCCTGCTGATATGGGCATCCCTTCTCATATTACGTTAGCGACTTGGGTTGCGGTTAGGGTTAAATTTACAGGGGATGCATATATCATTAGGGTTATCGATCATTGGGAATGGGGATGCCCATATCACTGTGAAAGCAACACATGTATATGCTGCCTTTGATCTGGAGTGGGCACTCTGTTGAGGTAAATCTTAATATAGGAATAATATCCTACTTCAGCAGCCGTAATGTTTGCTTGTAAACAGAGTGTAAGCATGAGAAAAGGAATTGCCTTCTTAAGACACAGCGCTCCTGATATTTGAGAATAAAAACAAAAAACTTCGGCTTTGATAACTTGGATTGTCCACCGTAAAGCTAAGAAGGAGTAATCATGAAGCTGCATGTCAAAAGAATTAACGAATGGAACAAAGAAAAAACAAATAATAAAAATAAAGAAACCAATGAATTGATTCCTGGGTTATACATATTTTGATTTTTGTAATGTTGAAAACTTCTACGCTAATCCTACCTCGAGGGACGCACATCCTCTTGCCATAAATGCATTTGGTCTGGCAACATGTCATTCCACTCTCAAAGCAATCGTCATCATTATTGCAAGGATAGGAATAAAGCAGGTTGAGACAGCTTAGGGTCTCGAACATCGGGCACGATCCTGCAGTCAGCCAATAAAACAGTTAGTTGAGAATTAATGTATAATGAATGCCACACAATTGTTACCCTGGGTGCCAGGGTGCCAGAGATTTTTCATGATACGTGGTTTCAGCCTGCAGTCGACAGCGAACCTTTTAGTCGCACGAGAGAAAAAAATCCTGTGGTACCCAGGATACAAAATTCTTTAAGGTGGAAAATGACTTGTACAAAGTTGAATTTTTATGTTTCAGATGTCTATGGTCCTAGGTTTTTCACGTATTCGTAAATTGTGCCGTCTTCGTATTGCTCACAAAGATGGGTTACGAGATATGCAACTAATACTATTTAAGGTATGCTGACCAAAATATTTTTAAAAAAATCACATTGTAAAAAGCATAAATAATAGAATTTGTTTCACATACCTTGGTTTATAATAGGTTTTATCTTCATAAGCGATATCTTCCCTTGTTCGTTTAAATTTGATGAAAGGTCATTGGACACTAAAAACAGACAGTGACGCTTCAAGGGTCTCGCTAAATATCTTTAAAAATGAAAACTTTCCTTAAGCATTACGAGGCTCAAATTTTCATTTGATTATAACAGACAATTTAAGCCCCGTGATGTAAGGGAATGATTTAACGACAGTTTAAAGTTTTCAAAATTTACAAGCCAGATTTCTATGAAAAACCACTTAACCCGTGACTGGGTGCATAGAGTTGTTTCTCTTACACAAGCCCTTCTAATTTTCGGCGGCCGTTGCAATCACTACTTTGGGGTATACGGTTGAAAATTTAATGGAAAGCAATTTTTACATGCTTTTTCACTTCCTGATAAAATTATTTTTCCAAAAGAAATTGTTTTCGAGTTTACGGAAAGTTTATCACGTGACTAACTACTCCAAAAGGCCCATTCCTCTGCAACAGTTCACATAGCAATCTAATTGTGAGTTTTTATTAAAGTACAGTAGATAGCGTAACAGGCAAACACTTCTTCCATCTTGAATACGGCAAAAAAGGTGAACAATTGTTTGAAATAAGCTTGAAAACAAAAGGGCAATTTTTTTTTACTCAGTGGCTATAGGGTGCCATGAAAGACGGCAATGTAAGCTACGCGGGCCACTAAAGTTCTGTAAAGAGACAGGACCGTGTAAAGATTCCAAAACTAAGAGTAGTTGGTAGTTTGCCACCAAAAACTTAAATTATTGTCAATCTTGGAATAAACTTTAACGACATCTTTAGGAAACGTAAACTTGTTAGGTCTAACCTGTTGAATTGTTCGCAAATGGTTGTGTTTGATTAGCTTCAGTTTCATTCCTTGCCGAGCTGTTTGCTGAAAAAAAATATATTGAGTAGTCCGATTAATTCACACCAATCCTTTGCCATGGAGGAACTTGTTTATTTTACCTGTCCTTAAACCCTCTATTATATATCAACGTATTGCAAGTAGTTAGTTGTACTACACGAATTACAAAGTACAGTTGAGGCCAATCTCAGTTCCATGGTCAACGTTCGTACCTTCCTTTCCTACTCCAGGGGACCGCAAAAAGAGGCACGGGGAAATAGCGTGCCAAAAATTTTTCAATAAAAAGAAACCAAAACATGGCGCCTTTGAATTAAAATAATTCCCAGTTTTGTTCTTTGAGGCTCTGTCTTGAGTTTTCCACAAAAACTGTTTGCCTAACTTCCTAATGTTGCAAGCCTTATTAAACATTTGCAATTGACCATTTATCAAGCAGGGAAATACTTAAGAAATTATATTACAAACAAGTTTTTCTTTTTCAATTTTGTCCAGTCGGATCTAGACTGTAATATATGTAGCTTAATATATGTAGCAGACCGGTTGTTAGTCTTTTTGTTAGCTAATGGCACTAGAATTTTCTTAAACTGGCTTAACTAAGTTCTTAATTTTTAGCATACCATGAACACTTATAGCTTCTGCCAGGGCTCCACCGAGCGTCTGATTGTTGGATGTTTCTGTGAGTGTAAAGGGAGAAGTTAGAGTTAAATTTGAAAATTACAATGGTCTTCCATATGCGATTTAAGCAATAGAATACTTTTCCGTGTTTGCATAGCCTGATATAAACACGAGAGGGGTTGGGAGAATTCGAGACAGTTATGTAAACCCGAGACGAAGTCGAGGGTTTGCATAACTATCGAGAATTCTCCCAAACCCTCGAGTGTTTATATCAGGCTATGCAAACACCGGAAAAAAGTTTTCTATTGCTTTTATAAATAAAAAAAAACGCACAACTCTTTCTTATGGCAATGATTAAAAGAGAAATTCTTACCAGTCGCAAAGTACTGTACACGAAGTCTTGCACGTGTAATCAGTTTTTGTTTTGCAAAAAGATGCTTTCCAAAATACGGATTTTTTTCGCTTAAAATGGCAGCTTAAGCGAAAAAAAGGTGACAGCTTGTTTGTAAAGATTTTTCAAATCTCAGCCGACGAAGAAATGGGTAAATAAAGTGAACTTGTCGAGTTTTGATCACTAAAACTTTTTCAAATTCGTGCTTGCGTGATTAGCGCGCGAAAAGCAAAACATCTTACGTCACAACCATGTTTACATACTCTCACGCAAACACTCCTTTCAGCCAATCAGAGCGCGCGTACTATCTTAGTTATTTTATAAAATGATAATGGTAAATAAGTTATGCCCCTTTGGAGTATCTTTTATAAACGCGTGACAAATAGAAGGGTAACGTCAATGTCAAGATGCTTTTTCCTACTCATTATTACTGTCGGTCTTTTAATGTATCAAATTCAGTAAATATACCATAATTTTCAGTGATAATCGGTGAGTATACGACAGCAGGCACAAGAAGGATGTGCATACCATTTGTCTGAGAATCATCAGTCACTTCCTGATGATTGATTTTGAAGATTTCTGAACAAACAGAAAATCTTTTTTTCAAAAATAATGATGATAATACACTTCAATCGAGTATTCAAGGTTCGATTTTTTTTCAAGTCAAGTCAAGTCAATTTTATTTAAATTCACACAGAATACTAATTAATACAAATCAGTGCTTAGAAAATAAAAATAAAAGATTGTGAAGGAAAAGAAAATTTTCAATTTTAGGTTTATTGTGCAAGGTTTGGGACAGCGAAATAGCTCGTAAAACTAACCAAGTAGGTGACCCGAAACAAGAATAAGAGTAAAAGGAATATAGCAGCAAAATGGTTCTTTTAGATAAAAAGTAAGTATTACCTCATTAATTAAATAGTAGTTAAAGATAATATAATAATAAAACTTCCGGAATTAATAACAGTATTATAACCATCAATCATAGAATTCGTGATATTTTGACGAAAATTGGAAAACGGTCTGGTTTTCTTAACATCAATGGATAAATAATTCCAAAGGTTGGTACCAGTGTAACGGTGAGAACGAATGCCGTATTGAGTGGTATGAACCGATTTAACAAGCAGATTGTCATTCTGTGATCGACATGTTATAACAGCAATGAATGGAAGGTACTGGATTAAAAAAAAAATTAACAAAACAAGAAGGGCAAGAGCCATTATGCTCTTGGAAGGGCTTAATTTATGGTACCACTGATAAAAAAAGGAGAGAATTTCAAGATACAGGAATACCCTTAAAATTTGATTTTTATTAATTTATGCATTTTCATTCAGAAATATTACAGACGATCGTCACATACCCCTACTCCCGTTAGCAAAATTTCGTTAGCGTTCCGTTGTAAATTCCATATTCCTATTGTCTGGTGTACTTTATTTAATGTAGATAGCAAGGAGAGAGAAATGCGGGTATTTTGTCACTAAATATTTCGAACATACATCGCCATAAATTGCCTTTACAGTTGCAATAGTACACAATGAGAAAGTTGCAATCGGCTTTGATAGAAATATTTATAGAGACATTTGATGTTTTATTTAAAATGTTTGACGTTTTCTCCTCAAGATATAAGCTACGCTATGCCATTAGCTATAGTCAGATGAACAGAGGACCTGTCAGGTGATAATTTTCTTATTGCTCTAATAATGATTATACCTACCATTCATCTGAGACTCATTAGGAATGTCCGACAATGTCTCATTTTGGCTGCTTTCTGAAAATAAGAGTAGTCAGGTTTTTAGCAAGCAACAAGCTAGAAAATTAATTTGGAAAATAAAATTAACGTTGTGTGTCGCAGTAGAGCCGTTAATTTTGAATATGTTTTTCGGACTGCATATCATTCGTAGCTAAGTTACTTACCTTGACCAGTCTGGGGGATGGTTTGTTTCGCAATATTATCATTTTGATTACCTAAAAATAAGTAAAAAGTGCAAATTTCTGTTTAGAGTACCAAAAACAGATGTAGCCTATTGTAAAGTAAAATAATGTTTATGTTGTCGTAAGTCATCATCATAATCTTCATTATTATGACCCCCACCACTGCTGCCACCGCCAACACCACAGTCGTCGTCATCACCATCACCATAAATTTTTAAAGGTTATGTGAGTAAATTTTACTAACATTAAAATGCGTCTTACCTTTTGTCTCGTTCTGTTCTCCTCTATCTTGAGGAAGATTTTTGTTTTCTCCTGTTATTGTTGAGTTGTCGGTGTTGTTTTTGCTACTTAGCGAGTCCTCGCCACTCCCACTTTCATCAGAGTCGCCATTGAGTTGATTAAGGGCTATTAAGGATAAGAGCCGGAAATACCGTTTTTTCTAAAGAATCTGATAACAGTTCAATACTTCTTTGAATATTTTTCCTGTAAATTCTTTGGCAAAGTTGTTTCGCTGTTTCTCAAAAGGAAAAGTATTTCTTTTATTTCAAGATTGTCTAAGAAATCTTCAATTTGATTTTTGCAACATAAAGTTGATTGTATCAGTCCAACTTTACATCAGCTTACTGATTTGAGTGTTTAAGTGCTTACTTATTTTTCTTTTAGTCAACCAAAGTTAAATAAAAATTGTAAAAACGTGAGAGACAACAAGCCAAGACAATCTTGAAAAGTTATTTATTCTACTTACCACTCTGTAGGCCGCTTGTAGGCCTAGTTATCACATCATCATCATCATCGATGTGTTCGTTATCTGGAATATTTATGATTTTTTTAAACAACTACCCAAAGATAGATTTAAAATTTGTTGGTTATTATTTTTTTTTCTAAGCCGTGTCCAAAGTAGGATTATAAGAATATTACAACTACTTAAAGACTGGGGAGTTCATTTTGTTTATTGCGCCAGTTACGCTTCCTTATTAGCTATGAAACTTGAAAAACTACCGGTGAATGACAAAACCACAGCTTGATGTCAAACAAATACGTCTCCGAAGCATTATATAAAACGTTGCAAACAGGTCACAAACACCAAAAATGAACTTTGAAAAACTGTTAGGCTAACAACTTTTCAAAATCACAATCGCCATCCGTTTGTCTCAGCACGTTTAGTCTGCGTAGCAAGCGTTTCTGTGCGGTTTAGGAGCAAAGAACGAGGAACAAGAGTCAAAGACCGCGCGAAAAATGGCGCAAGTAAAAGAGCAAAACCGAAAATCCCATCCCACGTTTATCCATCCGTGCATTCTTTTGACACAGCTCCTTTAATGTGCAACTTTTCTTCCACGGAGTTAAACTGTAATCCCACGACAAACGGTAATTAGCAGTTATACCAGGGGGTTACACGTTGAGTGAAAAATAAATTTCAGTGTTCTATCATCCAGAAAATAATACTTTTAAACTGCAAAGACGTAAACTTAAAACATATCAAAAAGGAAATTGATAAATAAATAACATTTAAAAAAAGTAAAGGAAAATATTTCAGTAACGTTAAAACACAATTCCGATATAGGTTTACTAATATAATCAGCCTCTTAAAGTATAACCATAGGTATCAAAATTTCGTCGCAAGTTATTTTTTATACTGATTATCGACTAGTTTCTTGGGCATCGCCGTAAATTAAGGTAATTTAGAGTTATTGGCTTTCCAGAAAATGGACGAAGAAACGTTCCAATGTTAATAGTGACAGTAAACATTACATAAATGATGTTTATAGTGTAAAAATTATTTTTACCTTTGTTCTCGTCAACACCAGCATCTATATTCTCCCCTTCCTCTTTTGAAACTACAGATTGAGATACAAATGGTGTTAAAAAATAAATAAATATTGTGTAAATTTCATTTAACCCTGTCATTTGATAGAAGAATACCCTCACAGCTATACAGTTACAAGCTAATGGAGTCACGTGAGCTGACCAAGACGTGTACGTGAATGTGCTTCGTAAGTTTTCCGTTGTTTCTCATAAATCGAATGTTTTATTGGTTTACCTGGTTTCCGTTTATATGTTTCGTCCTTTTGTGCTACCTGTTGTATATTATGCCTCAGTTGTTTTACACATTATATTAGTCTCTCTTCGTAATCGTTATTTACTTTCATGATAAAGTCAGGTATAACGCACACTCTGATTGGTTGAAAAAGTATGCTTCATAAGAGTATAAGACGTGGAGCTGAAGTTGTCACGCCAACTGTGAATCAATCCATGCGGTGGTTTTCAAGACCAAAGTTTCGCCGATTTCAGGGTGAAAAACACACCGTTAAAAGACGCAAATGGAAAGGGGAAGTTCAAATTAATGCTCAGTTTTCTTTTTGTGGACTATAGAAAGCTTTTGGCTACGAAATCGTTCTTCGAGGAATTCAACGATGTTTTCTTCACGGCGGAGAGCAATTCAAATGTCCTGTTCAGTGAAATTGCTGGTTTGCACGTGACGTCACGGCGGCCATATTGGTGGTCAAGAACAAAAGCATTTCTCTCCACTGGGAACTAAAATCTATTTTCACGTAAATTCTTCCGAGAAAAATTCTATTGTATTGACGCCAAACATGGCCGCCTTGTCACGTGGTTGCAAGCTATGAATTCAATCAAGGCACCCCATTTTTTGCAGACTTTTCAGGTACATTTTTTACTCTATGGTCAACAAAAGTACGTTTTTAAAAGAGAATTTATGTATGTAACAATGTTTCAGAAAAGTTTTATAAATTTTGTGATCGGCAGTAAAGAAAATTTACAAAAAGCACCCGGTTTGAGATGGATTTTATGTTGAATTTTGCCTTGAGCGCAACTGATTTTACTTGCTTTTAAGGATTAACTACTTAGTTTTTGAATAAAAGTTTTCAAGAAATAACTGTCTATTGTTTTGAGTTTGTTCATTCCTAACATTAGCTCGATCGCGCGACTACAGCATCTCTTCTGCGATGACGTAGGCAAATTTCATAAAATTTTTACTTTTCAGGTTTAGTTTTTGGCCGAAAAACTGTCCGGATTTAAAATCACTTTTTACCTTTAGAAACTGCCTTTTGGACGCAAAAAGGACATTTCTTCTGGATTTAAATTCACAAAACCTTTCGCTCGTTTTACGATGTAAAAGCTTTGATGCTTTGACAGTTTTGACAGCTTTTGTCTTATTCAACCACTCAAATCATTTGGCCCATTCTAACATGTTCTAAAAAACATTGCGATTGGCTAATTTAAGTGTGGATAATGAGGGTGACACTATCGTTCGCCTGAAAAGAAAGTTTGTTTCGGAAATTTAAGAAAGTAATGCGAAGGGAATTTAACTCAAGAAGTGAGGAGAAACAGTCGACTACGTTTCCTGTTCCCCCCTACACGTTTTTCGTGCTCTAGCCGTTTCCTGCGAGCTTTACAACAGAACATAGCACAGTCTAGGCTCCTTCATTTGTTAAACACTGTTTTATGTTAGTTAATTTATTCTACTTAGTGCATTGTAGTGTGTTTATTGTTGTTTAGTCCATCCACTAGAACCGTGTGATGTAAATATGTCTTTCCTGCCTTCTCCTCGATTAGTTCCCAGGCTATTTGTGGCTGGTAAAATTATGTAATTATTTATACTGATTGACTTTCACTAAAATTTGTTGTTGTTGTTGTTAGTTTTATGGGAAATTTCAATACCCCTTAAAAAATCACGCTTGAATTTCGAATCGGGATCAGAAGCCTACAATGCACTGAAGCAGCACTCATGGCAATTTGGAGCTGGTTAGGATAGCATTTCCCCCAAGATTAGCTGGTAATGCAGACTGTAATAATAGTAGTAAAATGTACATGTGATAAATGTCAACCCTCACCTTCTTTGCTGTCTTGTTTTGACACAGGTAAGAAATCTATACCCATTTCAGCAGGAAGTCCAGTACTAGAGGGCGTTGGAATATTTGCTGAAAGTACAATTTTGATATGTATTTATGAACAACGCCCGGATTGATTTTGAATTTACTTCATACACAAAGAGCACATAAAGAGAGTGACAGCTTATTAAACGGATTTTAGACGTATATTGTCTCACCTCTTGCAACAGCATCCGTCATAAGTCCTTGGTCTAGCTTAGAAGTGAAAGTTTTAATTCCAGCATTTCCAGCCGTCTTTCTTATCTCATCTGCGGGTGTTCAAAGATGTGAATTAAGAGAAAGATTCAGAGTCACCATATCACAAACCAAAACAAAACAAAACAAACAAACAACGCATTTCGGAGTTCGAACCCATGACCTCGGACAACCTTAATAGGACTGGGTGCTCTAGCCACTTAGCTAAGCACGTTGAGGGAAACAGGTAAATTATTTAGTACATTTATTATATATTGACATATTTATTTTCTGTGGAAGATATTGCTCCCATTCATGCATTTCAAATATTTTGTTATAAATTTCGTGGCATAATGAAGTACCTGGAGTAGTGCCAGATGTGTAGGTCGCAACAAATCCTGGTTTGGGTCTTCCCATGCGTTCTTTCGACTTGAAAGAAATCTTCAACTCATTCGAGGAAACGTTGAACGAGTTAGGGATCTGGTTTCCGCAAAACTTTTTGGATTTTCCTTGGATTGGCTCGTCCATAACTAAATAATCATCCTCGCAACTGTGCAAATGAAAGGAACAAAACTTTCACTTGAAAGATAAAGTTAGGCAGAACATTCAACCTTTAATCTGGAAGAATTTGTGCATTCACCATGCGAAGAATGGCTTGCATTGCCGTGGTTCAAATTTAGCCATGGTATGAATTACATCTTATTTTCTTACAATCGCATTATTAGATCTACGTTATCATACCAAAGAACAATGGATAAACCACAACATATTTATTGTGGTTCAATTTTACCCTCTAAAATTGGGAAGGTGTCTTGGGTGACAAAGGGGAAGTTAATCTAATGTGAGAACGGGTAGAAGTAGCTGGGGTAACAAGAGGGGCTATAACTTGGGTAAAAGGGAGAAGTGCATCTGGCGTAACAAGGGGTTTGGCTTCACGCTACTTTGTTACTGGCACGGCAAGTCTGTTATCGATTATGATTGAACTCTAAAGCCAAGGTCAAACGTCGAACTTTTCATGACACGAACCAAACTCTAATTTGGAGTCGACCTAAATTAAGTTACGATGGTCTGTTGTGTCAGACTTCGAACTTAGGAGGCGTCGAACCCCCGTCGAACCAATTAACTAAATCAGACCAAAAAGCAGTTTTAATAAATTTTCTCCTGAACGAGGCTAAATACATATAATTTGTATGACATACAAATTTTTCAGTTATTAATTTAGTTCCGGGAGACGATCTTCAGACGTTGTATCCGTCTTGAACAGACGGAAAGAACGTGTTGGACGATCTAAACTCAATCAGACGAACTTACCTGAACCAGACGTCGAACTCACTAAGTTTGGTTCGTCTTATGAAAAGTTCGACGTCTGGCCTAGGCCTGAGTGATGATTATGGTAACATACAAGCAAATAGGCTTACGTTGTACTTCCTACATCAAACGCCTGGAACGCTACATTGATTGGACCTTTGGCAACCCTGATGGTTGTATTACACTCTTCGTTCCTTGGATAGGGCTCCGGGTAGTTTGGTGACGTGATTAATCCAACCGGCGACGTCAGAACAGCACCACATTGATCTGCAACGAAAGTCAATTACAATAACACCAAAACAAGGCAGACATTGAAATGGTAACAGATTGCACTAACCCTTTTGTTTAACATAAAGTGACCGGCTATTTATAACTGGCTCCCTAACAAGTTAGCTCAGATTCGAGTACGGACTCTTAAGTTTACGACTGCCCATGCAACTCATGCAGAGGTATAAACTAGATGTTCCCATTCCGATACAAAGTTTAGGAGTAGCTTTCGCATCTCTTGAAGGCTCGCAATTGCTCCTTGTTGATTAGTATGTTACTTATCTTTTGCTGGGTAGTTAACTGTTGCTCTCACTCAGGAAAATGACACTGGAATAATACAAGACTATAAAAAATGCAATACACTATATATTGCTACCCATCTCCTACCTCCCGGGTTGGTTGGTCTGTCTACAGCCTCGTATGATGCACTGAATCCTTGCGCCGTTTGAGATTCGTCCGAATAAAACTTGACGCAGAGTTTGTTCCCAGTGGAGAAGAATGGAGCAGGTTCCTGTTTCCCACAGTATTTGGTTTCTGCTCTGAACGAAGAACAGTCACCGTCCATCACTTTTAAAAAGTCACCTTTACACTTCTCAGCATTTGAAGTATCTTCTGGAGACATAATTTGCATACTGGAAACAAAGTAACACTACAATTATTGACAGAAAAGGTTGGAAAACCGCAAACCCTTCCCGGCACGTTCATCATCATTTCAGTGGGAAGACCACTAAAGACTAACACTGTTTCTTCAACACTTACCTAAACTCATCAGCTTGTTTTTTTTTGCGCCACTTATGTTAACGGCAACATATTTTAATGTAAGTGTACATATATGTAATTAAAAATATTATTGCATTGATCTCGCTCAATGTAAAGATGAACGAATGAAATGTGTTCGTTCTGAAAAAGGTTATGACAAAGACGCTAGCTGTTAGGGTGAGGAATGCGTGTTCTGAAAACACTGTTACTACTAAAGTTGAAAGTCGCGCCGGGTCCAATACGTTTAGAAGAGGAAAACAATTCTGATTTAGTAGCAAAAGTCACACATGTATCTTTAATCATACAACCCATTCTGGAGTACTTACCTAAACAAATGAATATAATCTAAATACAGATTTGAAGATTTAACCATCGCAGTTGTGTTCACATTTGAAGAAATTGCAAAGAATCAACAAAAGGAATGAGTGCTACACGCGGTGCTCTACCAACTGAGCTATGAAGACCCATACATTGGGAGCAAAATGAGGGCAATTCGTGAATTTCATCTGAACCGGCGAAAGGAATGCAACATAGAATAAGGACGACATGTCATCTTCAGTCAGTCAAAAAGGGCCAACTAGTCCAAAACGTAACAACCAGCAAATGAATACAACCTTTACCTGTGAAATTTAAGCTTAACGACCTTGTTTGGATTAACGTTAATAACTGTAACACACTCCTTGTTGTCAGGATAATCTGCCGGGTAGTTTGGAGACGAAAATGTTCCTACATCTGTTGTAAAGTTCCCGCCGCAGTTGTCTGAGGAGATATAATGATATAATTACTCAGGAAACCCGTTGTGGCATAGAGCTCTAGATCTAGATCTAGATGGCGTGATAAAAGTGACTGGATAGTGCACAACACGATAACACTAAGATAACGTAAGGAAATCTGGATTCCGGAATTCGGAGAAGTTTTGCTTGTGGAATTCGGAATCCTGGCAATTTTTCCCTGGGCTTTAGAATCCGGAATACAACTCTGGGAATCTGGAATCCCGTTAGAGATTGGAATCCGGAATCCAAGTTCCACTGACAAAGTTCTGGAATCTAGTAACTGAAATCCGGAATCCAGAATCAAAGACTGTCTTGGATTCCCTTGCATGGGGCGAAAAATAACGATAGTCTGGAATAGAGTTATTCTTACCAGTAATCATTGTAATGATCCAGATGTGCTTAACGTGGTGGATGATTTTAAGATATTCTGATAGACAATTTGGCGTTCTGATTCCTTTCTTTTACGTTCCTTTTTCGAGCCCTTTGAATGTTGAGTATTATAATAACAAAAGAATATCCATGTGATATTTCTAGTATGCTTTGAAAATGTAAATGTATCTTTTTCCTTGAAGTTTTCAGGGAGTTAACACAATTTACAACAATTTCTTGGGGCTCAGTTTACAAATATTACGAAGTAATTATCAACTTAGGAATGCAATCCAATGAGAATTTGGGAAAGACTCTGAGCGTTGTCAAAGATAGGGGTGTGTTACGTCCTAATTGATTCTATTGAGTTCTAAAAAAGTCGGATCAACAAAATGTCAGAGCAAACTCGGCAGTAGCTCTCCTCAACTGTTTTAAGGACTCTCGGCGTCCGTTCATCTGAGAATCGAAGCCACCCAAGCACTTTACAGTCTGGTACTCAACCACTTGAGTTAACCAGGCGGCGGATATATATCTTCTTTCGCCTTTTTTCACTTCCAAAAAAGGGTGAAATCTTAATCAAATCGCAAAACTCACCATCACCAGGACATGGGTTGTGAACATTACAGAATTCTTGCGAGGGAGGTTTAAACGTTACATCGCACTGGCTGTCTTCCATGTCCATTAGATTTCCACGGTGGTCCGCCTTCATACATTTCACAGTTCTTTTCTGAAGTCCACGACCGCATTTTGTTGAGCACTGCCCAAATTAATATGACATAAGGTTAAAAATGAAGCTTTACTTTGAAATGCCTTACAATCTCTTTTTGCATGAAGACTAATTTACAAAAAATGCTCTGAAATAACTCCAATAAAAATAACATTTAGTCCATTCATTTGCAGGTTTTGGTCTGGCGTACACGGCGCAGACGCGGTCATGTTATAGCACTTATCCTGATATACATCACAGCGATTCTGCAGCTAAGCTATCACATAATAAGAATCCAATTAAAACATAATACAGTCTTTGTTGGCATTCAGTGCGAATTTTTACCTGTCCAAATGGTTGTGCTACCCATTCTGCTGGACATGGTACGTTGTTGCATGCCTCTACCATGGATGGTTTAGGATCTGAACAGAGTCTGGAGTCAACATCATACTCTATCCCATCAGCAGCGACTTGCATACACTTTACTTCGCGTGTCCTGTTTCCGCCATTGCAGGTTTGGGAACAGTCCTCCCAGCCTTCGGGCTTCCAACTACAGAATTTAAATTAATAAATTAAGTTGACGCAACGGTGGACATATAGTCTCTTAGTTGCCAATTTTCTTTTGTGTAACAGACACCGTTTAATTCAGGGGAACGTTGGTGCAGGGAACAAATACTTTCATTAACAAAAATGTAGATAAGCCTCGTCTGGGTTTTCGAAATTCGAGTTGTGCCTTCCACTGGATAAATCGCTTTCGAGTTAGAGACGTGTTAGAGAAATCCATTATGCAATCCATAAAGTAGACCTATTTAGTAGACAGCACAATATCAACCCTTTGAGTAAGATGATGAACAACATGTTAACTGCACATGTTTATCATTCACCTTGATAATACTCTCAAAGAACGTCTTTGCCTGCATTCTGAATATGCCTATAGTAAAACCAATCTATTAGGTCTTTTTATGTTACTTACACAGGTGGACATGGTTGAAAGTTACAGTGCGCTGTCGCACGTGGTGGCCTGAGACCAGCATCACACTTCTCCTCGTTCACTGGAGAACCATCATCTGATCTCCGACATTCAGCAAACGAGTCCTCTGAACCTAGTATGAAAACAATATCAATAAAATAAGGCAACGAAGTTGTATGAAACTCGGTTGTATATTGGCCGCCACAATCGGACGAGCTTGAATGACTATTTCTAAGCTGATATCTAGAGGACGATGTGTTTGCTTTAATTTCCTTATTTTTTTTCTTGCAGTTACTTAATTGACAAGAAAAATGTACCACTGGAAATTCACCATGCTAAACTGGTAAAAAGGAATAAAGTCATTGATTACCCGACGCAAGTTCGAAAGCATGCCACCCAGAACACCAGTTGGGTGGTTTTGCCTTTGGGATTCGGAGGATCTTGCGATGAACTAGACAATTCACTAGGTCATTTAATGCTTCGTTGAAGTGTCCTTTTTAAATGTAAACTATTCAAACTTGCATCGAATTATCCAAAACTCCACAGGGATGAAAAATAGACCACTTTAAAAAACAATTTGGGGCGTTTTCCATAAATCAGGACTGGCTGGCGGTATCACGGCCAGACCAGTCATTTTGAAAATGAAATTGGATTTTTCCAAGAGCCATTGCTGAAGAGCATGCTGTTTAGTATTTTACCGATCTGGCCGGATATTTTTTGTTAAAAGCGCAATTCTCATTACGACGGGAATAGTCTGGCTGGACAGTTCTGGAAAATTGAAAGAGCCCATATCTCCAGATAAAATCACCTCCACCGCAGGACACACTGCAACCAGTTTTAACTACAGCCCAGTAAAAGTCATCCTTCTGAGCGTCTTTAGTGGTACTTTCAGGAGCAGCAATTTGTCCTCTTCTGTCCACGTCATATCCCATGCGCTTCAGCCAGTCTAAGGCGCTTGTGATGAGGTTTGCTGCCCCAGGAGTAAATGCTTTCTTGGTACTAGAGGTGTTTGTTGTTACACTATCTCTTGAGCCTGGTAAGCATGTGCTACCATCTCCGTTGCACACCCCACACCTGTCGACCACTGCTTTAGAGCCAATGATGCCATCACACCCAACTTTCTGTACAAATTAAAAAGAATCAGTGAGTATGTTTCCGGAGGGTGTAGAAGTGCTAAGTGGAACCGCAGAAATGTGCTAATCAAATTATTCGCTAGTTGGAATATTTCGCAGAAATTGCCAAATCAAACTGCCAGGCAGCTTGAAATAAAGTAAAAGACAAGCAGATTGTTTTTCACTTATGTTCTTTTTTGCTAATTAATTAATGGGATTGATTTCCCTGGGATGTCTTACAATGTCGCAATGTGTATATGAAAAATAAACTGACTTACTGTGCACTGTCCTTCGATACACTTGTCAGGAGAGGTCTTTTCACAATCCGTTCCATCGACAACATTTCCAAATGCAAAGCCTAACCCCGTTCCTTTGATAAAACATCCCAAGACACACTTTCTCTCTAAAAAGGAAAAAAAAAAAACAACAACAACAACAAATTTGTTAATAAACTAAACACCTCTGTTTTACCAAGACTAGTGAAGTTATGACTCTCTCCTTTTTCTTCTTTGGCAGGAAAACGACATGTCGCGAATTTGGTACGTTTTAGGTTGCGTTTCGTTTAAAGTTCAGGGCCACGCAAAGTTTTTCTAAAAGGGCTGCATCTACTGTACACAGACTGACAGGAACATTAAGTAGCTGAGTATAGTAAGGAGGAAGGAGACTTTCCAACAGTTTAACGATCATTTGCAAGACAAACTAGATCGGAAAAGTTATCAGAGGTGTCGTCAATTCAGTGACTGGCAATAACCGATGTAGAGACTTATTAACCTTGTTGTCATCAGCGACAGAAGTTGCCGGTGCTTACGACCAATTAGAACGGGAGTCTTCCCTATACAGAAGTGCACGAATCTGCAGAACTTACTTAAAGTTGAGGGTTTCCATTCCCAGTCGTAATACTGATCGTTGAACAGCTGAGAATTCTTGACTTGACACTGGAAGTTTCTGAATTCCATCGAATCGGCTGGGCAAGCCTAAAAAGAAGAGTTGAATACAAGGATATGACTAACAACTGCATTTGCCCATCGTCCCGAACCCCTAACCTCCGCAAAATTAAAATGACCAAATAGAGGTGTCTATGGTACTTTATGGTGACAGAGAGAGACAATAACTCGAAAGTTAATTTCGAAATGTATTGCCCTAAACGACTTACGTCAGTGTTGCAAAGCTTGTATTCCCTCTCTTCTCCTTCGCATCTTTTTCCGCCATTCTTGGGGCTAGCAATTGCAAACAAAAAACCTTTTTTAATCAAGTATAAAAGTATGGTTTTCTTTCTTTGTGGATGACAATTGTCTTCATTGTACTTTTACGGATAAAAATAGAGTTTTGACAAAACCTATTAGAAAAAAGTCTCAATTCTCCATCAAAATTTGTTGTTGTGTATTTTGCAAATTTTAACCCTTGTGTATACTTTTCTATCATCTACTAGAAACCCTTCACTGTTTAAGAGTTATCGGTTTTTTCTCGAAGGAATCTTTGATCATCATCGGAGACGGAATATATTGAAGGAATATTCACGGACAAAGTTTGAATCTCTTGATTTATCATAAACTATTTTCTGCCTAGCCAGAAGCAGGGTACAGTTCTAAAGCGGGCTATTCACCATGGCTATTCTCTGTTTTTAGAACGGAAGTCAGCATAGCATTCCGTTTCGCCATAGTTTCGGGAGAGGACATTTTAACGATAAGTAAAGCAGCTGCACTAACAAATACTTAAAAAGTGACGGAATTTTGCCTGTCCTTACTGGTTCACTGTAGGAAGGAAATAATTTCTTTTTTGAATTGGCTCTTACTAAGTCACTTTTTTTGCAAAGAATGCTTATCCAACTGACTTGGTAAGATTTGAGGGATGCGGTTGGAAAAGAAAGAAACGAGGCAGGATGGCAATTATGGGACGAAGTGAGAGCCGGAGTAGCTAACCGACAAAATTGGAAACACTTTTTGGATGCCTTATGTGCCAAGAGGCACAAAGAGGACATGATAAGGTGAAGGATTTGGTAAAAATAATAATACTAAACAACTATCTCCCCCAGCGTCGATGCATTGTGCTAGGTATAAAATTGGGCAAAAAAATTAACCATATATAGCTTTCCGATCTGCTTTGCTCTAAGTTTGAAAATTAGTTAGCTGCGCTATGGGTCTCTACGGATAATCTTTCATAGTTTGTCGACGTTTAAGGGTGCCCTCATGGTGTGTCTAGACGCCAAAACGTTTCTTTCCACCATTGTAACGAACCGAAGCGTGTTCCTTATTTACCGAGGTGAGTTGCATCTTCTTTCTCTGTATTTCACCCCTCCACCACAAGTTCTGCTGCAGTCGGAGTACTTAGTGGACCAAACTGACCACCCTCCGTCGACAGTGTCAGCTCCTTCAGTACCCACCTGGATGCACTGGCCACGCCTGCACCACTGCAAAGGTATAAAAATGGTTTTGATTCCTCATTTTGTCAATACAATTCACAATATTAACAGGCGTAGGGCGAGAAGTGCCTTTTAAAATGCTTTTGATCTTAAATAAAGTGGTATAATACAATCAATTATAAATAATAAAAATGTTATTTCTTAATATATAAAAAACTGAATAGAAAGGGTCTAAAAGAACCTCAATTTAAGGTAGAAAACTATTAACTTTGATGTAAACTCAGTACGTTAACACTGATTAAAATTATGTCACCACAATTTGCGCATATAATGTTTTCGCTAACAAAGGAATTTTATTCCCAGCTTGAGACATTTTCCAAAAGAACTATCAACAAATCATTTTTTAGAAACGCAGCGAATATATTGAGCTTGTCCTTCCTCCATTAAAATCATAAATGTATTTACAAGTGAATACTTGTCGCATTTCATTGCTATTAGTAAAGGGGTCTCTGAAAATAAGAACAAACAATACCTTGCCATTCCCACAAGGTGTGCCATCCGCAGCTGGCATCTCAGCAGTCTTGCAGTTTCCACTTCCGCCAGGTACTTCACACCATAGCTTCACGCAAATTTGCTGCAATTTCATTTTCGTTATACAATTAGTTGACCAAGCGATAAGTAATGACAGCTACTTAGGCATGACTGAGACTCTTGTCCTCGGTATTACATGTGAACGTAAGTACTTTATTAATGCAATTTACAATTAGTAGTTACACCGATTGTCCAAACCTTAAACTTAGAACTGAAGGATGAATTTAAAAGAAGTGGCCTGTTCACCTTAATATTTAATGTTTCTCTTAATAAAGAGCTAATGAGGCATTAACTTTGAACAAAAAAATGACCCTCCTACCATTATCTGGTAATGAAGGCCAGGTTTATATCAACATTAATCTGCCTTTAGCGAAGAATGTTGGAAACGTTAAATGGCAAAACTTACATCCAAGAATTTTCCTCCTCCACAGAACTTGGAGGTCTGTCCGTAAGAAAGCTGGCATTGTTCATCCGCGTCGTAAAGCCTGCCTGGTCTGTCCAGTGTCCTGGTCTCTATTACGCTCTTTTTAGTTGGATTATCATCTAAGCAGCTGGAATCATCTGAGCTGTGGTCGGAAATTTGGTAAATGACAATTAAGGAGAAAAAGAAGAAAACATATTGATAGCCTGATAAAACAGACGCTACCAACAGTTTCCTACCCCCAAAACGTTTTTCTGGTCTTTTTGGAACAGAAGAACGACACAAAAAAAAGTTTTCAGGTAAAGTTCAGAGAAATACGTTCGCGAGACTTTCCCCGAGAAATGAAGCACTAGGTCAGGGTAGTGAAACATACGTCACCAGTATGGAATGATACAATCCAACTTAAAAACGTAACGGGAATTTATTTCATTTCATGTTTTTTTTTCACACGAATTTTCTCTTTTTCCAAGTTTGTTCAATTGAAGAACTTTTTTTGGTTTGATGAAATATCAAAGAGCGCTTAGACCAGATCTTGAGTGAAATAAAAAAAAACGCCAGAGATAGCAGATGATTACCAGAGTAGCGTTGTTTAAAAGACCCTCTGCAAGATAAAGGGGGGGGGGAGTGGTTCTATCTTTGAAAAAAGGAGGATGAAAGGAAGAAATAACGAACAAAAAGGAAAATTGCGTTAGAAACGGGCATTGTTATTGGTCGAAAAGGGAATCAAAAGCAACAATTTGCAAGATTTCGTGACAAAAGTAAAAGGAAATATTCTGATTCAAGATGACTAACCGCCGCAGGTTGTTAATTATATATTCATATAAGTATATCCTCATTAATGGTTAGGCACACTTACTTGAGAAACTGTTGCAGGTAGTTCTTACTGCATGGTGACCATTGAAAAGCTGACCTCTTTCCTGCTGGGTAGGACGCCATGATATTCACGCCGTCAGGACATTCCCCTTTGTCGTGGTTCATTCCAAGACTGAAATTTAGATACAAAGTAAGTTTTTTTAACATTTGGATTAGAAGTGTGTCAATTTGCTGATTGGTTAAAAGTGGTAAGAATTTCTGGTTTAAAATGAAATAACACTGGGTTTCTGCGGCGCTCGCACAAAAAGCCGCGAAATCGCTATAAAGGGAATGGCTCGAGTAGACATTTGATTCATAATGATCTTCTACGAAATGTCAGTGGTCAAGTAGTGTACGTGGCGTATAAAAATAGCATAAATCAAAGTTACCTGTGCCCAGACACATGGGCTAATGTCATTCCAAGCATCAGGCCGTTGTCTTGGCCAATGCTTGCTGAGTTAGGGAAGCTGCACATCCCTCTAGTTCTGGTAAGGCCTGTTGTTCACATAAATATGTCAGTATCATTACAACGCATCGCTATTTTTTGACGCATTTGCAGTGATTACTGAATAATCGCTGGCGAATACAGGCCGATGGGTCCGAAAGTCTAGATACACCAAAACGCCCCCACATCAGAAATTTAAAGTGCCATCACTGAAGGATTCGTGGATCTTCTTTAACCACACTGTAGTATACTAGAAATAATTATGAAGCAGCAAATAATGCTGGTCCCAGCTATAGGCTGCCAAAAGCTCATACAGCACAGCAATAGGTTTTTGGCCTCTCGACCATGCATATGCGTACTGGTTATCCTTGTGCCTCTTGGGTAAAAAATCTGCTTTTGCTGATCAAAAATGAACAAAAATAAACTTGAATAGTGCCTCCAGTCAGTAATTTTAAAATTGTGACAGCGTTTAGGTCATTTATATTATGAGCTCTATGCTTCTTCAGCTTCTTGATAATGCACCAACTATCAGTTGCTATTTAACAATTATTCTTTGAAATTGAGGTGAATAGTGGGTAAATATTTGCTTAGCGGCAAAGTAAATATTCCCAAAGCCACTATTCAACGAGATTGAAAAGAATAATTTTTTTAGTATATACACACGAAGTGATCTCAACAAAATCAGAGAGGAAACCATTAAAAAGTACGATTTGATTGACAGATCAAACCACGCGTAAGTATAAAAATAGTTCTTTGCAGAATTTTCAAACATGGCAATTCACAAGTTTATTATTTCGCAAACAACAGCCTAATGGCTTAAATGGAACCGATAAAAGTTTGAACTGTTTCCTTACCTGAGAAGATAAGTAGAACTTTGTTGTTTTCTGTTGACTCGCCAAGTTTATAGCCAAAAGGGTTTGCTGTGTCGTTCTTCGCATGAAGTGCTGACAAAAATGGCGGCTCGGTTGCTCGAGGTAAGACGTCGTCTTCTTGTAACATTCTTTTTCCTGTTTACTTGTTTTAAATTTGTATGTCATGAATAAACTTCGATTTTTGAGCCAAAATTTTCTTGTTAGAAAACGCTGAGTTCACGAAACGGCTTTCTGTACGCGAATACACGGGAGTTGTAAACAATAAATCGAGCACAAAACTCAGCTACAGCAAATTGAAACACGCCGTATTGAATCCTTCCAAGTCTTTTCTTGTCTTAAAAAAAGTCAGCCCTAGGATTTGTCGACTTTTAAAAGATCGTTCTCTAAAAAAAATGGGAAAAACACCGAGCTCCCACATTATCCACTCGCTAGGAGGTGAATATTGTTGAATAGTCAGAGATAGCGAACCAATCAGATTGCTTAAATCACCAAGATCACTGAGTGTGTATCTACTGATAATAGTTATCGACTAAATGCATAACTAGCAGTTATCCACTACTCATGCGCATGCGGTGTGGTAAAACAATTTACATTATCGTAATGCGTACCTAAGGTCTCACAGGGTTGATTCTTGTCCTTACAAATATTGTATCTGTAAATAACAGAAGCAGCATTCAAAGAAGATCATGATCGAAAATAAAAGCACACTAAAGCTAATTCTTTACATCCTAATGTGAGTGAACGTACTAAAAGTTCTAAATACAACCTTACCTCGTAAACAAAGTGGCATAGTCATAGTGGTTCTCATCGTTGTCCAAAGGATTATTGTTTCGCTCCGCCCATCTGCCAAAACTCTCCAGTGTATTGCTTGCGTGGTGGTTGATAACCAGTCCAGACTAAAATAATGCAAAGTAAAATGAATCATAATATATTTATTAGCGCAACCAATGTCATTTGGCATCAAGAGACCTAACATAAACAAACATTATTTTTATGAGTTAAAAAGGCAAAATTCTAAAGAAAGCAGCGCGAAGTTACAAATTACAAATGCTAATTGATGCTTTCTGAATGACCAATCAGTGTTGGGAGGGGAGGCAGAACTGCTCGAGTCTTTCCCATCTTTCATTGGGCGACTTTTCAAGTTTTTTATAATTTTACGTGATCTGGTTTACTCGTTTTAGTCACAGGCTAGACCCACCTCGTCATTACCCTAGTTGCTAGGGTACCAACAATACCGTGAACAATACTATTGACTGAACATTTATTATAAGCCATTGGTACCAACACACCTGTGGAGTTGTTAGTATCTGCATTCTACTGACTACAAAATTTACAGGACTCTCTCCAATACTTGCATCTCGTAGGAGGTTCGAGGCCTAAGAAATATTGCATGAAATGTCAAGTTAGTCAAGCAGGAAACAAAGGAAGGCAGAAGTAGAAGATGAAATGGGGTGTAGGATGGAATTCTGAGAGAGTCTGGGTCGTTCTCAGACGTTTCAACCAAAACCGGAATAACACTCTTTTGGTTGAACATTGGTTGTGAATATGTCACTAGTCATTCCTAGTTTTCCTAAACGTCTTTGCCAAGGCCTTTTCAGAATAGCACAAGAAGAATGGTCGCTACGGTTCGTCTTCAAGAACCGTATTAAGAGGTGTTTGAAATCCATGAATAATCGGACGATGAGGAGGAATATGTCAGTGGCAGAACTGTTTAATTTGGAAACTGAGAAGACAGCTGACACTTGCATTACAGTTTAATTTGTGAATGATCATGACCTTCGCAAAATAAAATTGGCAGATGAAAAATTGAGATAAGAGGAAATTTGAAAGAGTTGATCAACACTGAAAACAATCAAAAACGTTTTTTCCCAATAAGCCTTTTTCAAAAATGCCGTAATCCGGCCCTTTGTTATCCCTCCAAAATTTTGCATAAGCATTGTTTTCAATTTCTCTTGGAACGGATGTACTACCCAGGAGAAATGAAAAACAAAGGTTATGCAAAATTTAGGGGGGCAAATAAGGTGCATTATGGAAGATGTGCAAGTGGCGAATAGAACACGAACAACCAAACCAATCCAACCAGGAGCAAACAGTTGATCTAAAACGAACAAGTCTATTAAAAAACCAAATAAACTCAATACATTATTTTTGTCAATTTTATTTGTTGTTAACTTACTATGTTGCAGGCGGATAGGGCGTACTGTTTCGCGGCGTCTTCACCGTGAAAATTGGCCATTTTTGGATCAACTACAACCAGAGTTTCTATGTACTTCTCCGCTCCTGGTCCCGCTGGTCCTTGTCGTTTTAGTGGCTGTGTTTCGTTCAGCGAACGTGAGACGCGAATATTAGGATCATCTAAACAAGTGATTAATAAAGATTTTTTTTTTCAGACGGTATATCTATCATAATAGAGAGATTTAAGTCCTGTTTACGGCAAACGGCAAGCGTGAATTTGTACCACGTGACCATCTTTTCCCTTTTCTTGTCGCTTACTGTTCATACTTCTACAGAAAAATGTGTAGTTTCACGCCAGCTCGCTTTGACTCTGAAGATGACTACCGCACAGTACAGGTTGTCGAAACGTCAGTCACTGTCAACAACAACAGTCCTATGCAGGACTACATTCACCCTGACCATCAAACTCAACCTAGTTTTTATTGTCTTGTTTTCTGAGAAAATCTCGACCTGAATTTTAATCTGACGTGTGCCTTTTGGTAAATGTAAACACCACGAAATAAAACAACAAAAAATACATATTAGATAAACCAAAAAATTAACAAAACTATGCTCATTTCTACATTTTTCCAAACACAGAGACTAGAGAGACTAGTTAGCGGCACTAGGTTAATAGTGCGCCAAGTTTGTGTTATCTACTACTTTGTCGCAAAACCAGAGTAAAATTAAAACAGACATATTTACCTTCGGTGCCGCAAGTATGTACTTGTCTTTTATCTCTAGCAGTATGAAGTTTTTGCCTATCATCCAAAGTAGTAGATCGTCTATAGATGACATGAGGTCTACTTCTACCAATTTTAGTTACTTTGTTATGCAGATGAACTGGAAGTGGCTCGATAAAATATGCTTCTTCCTCTGTATGGATAAGTCCACTCTATACAGTAAAATTAGGACACCTACGTGAATATTTGCTAGCGTGAAGATTTGCTGGCGTTGGGCAAAAATTAAGAAGCAGTAGTAGTACTGTTAACTATTATTATCATTATTATTATTGTTATTATTATTATTATTATTATTATTATTATTATTATTATTATTATTATTATTAATATCAAGAAAAATTTCATTACAACCGGTAAGTCACTCTTAAACAGTTTGCTACTTCAAACCACAAGGGAAATCAGAATCATATATTTATACTCTGTACTAACAGGAATCGAAAACATTTGGGAACACTCAGGTGTATATAAATTCGGCTATCTAATAGGCCATTTCCGAGTTCCAAAAACTCTCATTTTCAAAACAAGGTTAAGAGCAAAACCCTTTTTTATAAAAAATGAGTTGACTTCAATGGCTTCGCACTTAGCCTCGCTTTGAAACAGAGGCTTTGGGTGACTCGGAGATGACCTATTAATATTGATGTAAAAGATATCCTAATTGTAGCGACAGAGAACACAGTGCACGTATTTCTGTTTCATTTTATTCCGATTTTATGGCAGTGGATTCAGTGTACATTGACCTTGGCCTTAAATTCTAAGGGGAGTAGCGCATTGATTTAGGTTTACGTTGAGCAGCCAGCAGTAAACGCCGCAACTGTTTTGGTCGTCATGACGAGCAGGAAAATAATTGGTGAGTGAAATAGCAGTTTGGCGAACTGTGTTCAGCCCTAATGTCATAGTAATTTCATAGTAACTTTAAAAAACTACTTGGTGATGATGGTCTTTTTAGACTTAAAGTCAGCTAATGAAACATTTGCATGAAATATTATTTATACTTCTTTTTCCACATATTCACCGATTTTACTCTGGTTTTCCGAGTATTAAGCTTTGAGATGTTGAGTGCGCCTCTAAACGTCATTGCCAGAAGCTATTTTTATAAATTCTGTTTTAAATGTTATGCAATATTGCACAAAACGTCTTCTTTTGGCAATAGTTTTTTCAGGTGTGGCGACAGGTAATGCAAACATGCGGCTTTGATAAAAAGAACAAACGGATGGAAAGTACAGTCTAATCATTCTTTTTAGAAAGCATTGTACAAGTTAGTTTAACTCGATGATTTCACGCGGCAAGGCTGTAACAATTCTTAATTCAGGCACTGGCGGTCGTTAAATCACTTCAAGAACCACTGATTAACTTGAGACTAAAAATTGTAATTTCATACCGAGAACTAAGAACATTTTGTTCGGCCTTCAACTTGTGCATGAGCAAGACCGTTTGAGTGAACCAAGAGAGAATACTAACACAGAGATTGAATTTTAGAGCGTTGAACGGGATTTAGTGAATTTCACTAAATCTATTTTTAGAGGCTGGAATTAAATGGAGGCCTAATTCCTGGGACTTCCGCACATTTTGTTCGATTATTCGAAACGTCATCAATTCCACGCACTACGGCCTCAAAGCAAACAATGCAGAATATTGTAATGGCCACAGTTGAATTCTCTCATGAAAACACTCACTAAATAAAAGTTTGCAGACCTCTCCGAAACCAACTTCCGATAAATTTCAAGCGTTTTATTAGTAAAAAAATAACCTTTGTGAAATTCACAAACCAAGGACTTGACTGCACTTTTCCCTCTCTGTCCCATACATTTTCTCTTTAGTGAAAAGAACTCACCAGTCCTTGACAATTGCTTATCGCCACTGTTGTTCTTGATCTTTCTTTCAGTTTCCCAACATAATGACAGTTTTCCATTGAATGTCTTTTCATTACCCTTCCATGTTTTCCTATGACTTCCACCTTAAAATTAGGGGCCAATAGTCTCTTGTTTCTTTCCAAATGAAGGTGCAGATCATTTCCAAACGCGGATACTCTATAATGAACGTCTTCATTCTCTGGCTCGTTAGATGATCGACGCATGCGTATTCTTGGAAATGTGAGTTCATGTGAGATGAAAGCGCCATTCTCGTCGACTTGAATGGGATGTACTACATTGTATTCGGGAACTAAACACAAAAGACACTTGCAGTTAATTTGAAATTATTTGCAGCAGAAATTATAACTTGTGAAAACTCTTAAATCTTGGGCTAGTCAGGTTGATGCGTACACGACGAGTAATAGAACAATGTACATGATGATGTCGTTAATAAGTACACAACTTTTTTCGTTTTCTTATTCATTCTCAAATTTAACGATTCCTGTAAGTTTTACAAACCAAGAACCCTTGCTTTCACAATAATGTGAATTTGGAAAAAGAAAATTAAAAATACCTTATTTTTCCATAAGGAAAATCTTTGGCTGAGAACATCTACAGCATAATCAAAAAATGTTTCGTTCTTTTTTCTAAAATTATCAAAGTAAGAAACTTCGTAAATTTCGCTTCATAATTATGAATTATTGAGAAGTAATGAAAGATAGCTGATATACGAACTTGGCAAGAAGACACAGCATAGACCATGACAGATGAGTCCGAAAGACTTTCTAGGAATACTTGTGCAGTAATTCCCTAATTAAAAAAGACTTTGTTGTACTTGAACAACACCGCATGTCCAAAGTGTGAGACATGTCCGAGTTTTATCGGGAATTCACGGTTATGGCGTTGAGGGAGTACAGTTCTGTGTAAGCAGTGTCGACCCAGACTCTAATTTATTGTCAACAGAACTGGAAGCCCTGGAGCACTGTTGTGCAACTCACATCACTAAACAGATTGGAAATCGTCACTAATGTACCTTAACTTACTTTTTATACGTCAATGGGGTTTATATAAAGAGGTGGAAGATGAAATAATTACCATCGCCATGAGATTCTACTCCAAACAACCTAGAAAGATCCCTCACTGTCATATGCCTATGGATATTGCTATGATGGTCCTAGGGAAAAAAACAAACAAACAAACATTGATAAACTATTTCCAACAAAGATACAGAATAATAAGTTAGGGTGGTAAAATACGTGTACAGTGATTTGTATGAAATTGTCCGCCCAAGCATCTACTGTGTTTCATTGGGCGTTTTCCATTCAACCAAAACTTCCAGTTTGAATTTTCGACAACTTTCAGCAGCGAATGGAACAGCATTTTCCAAAATTTCTAAATAAAAAAAAGCCAACCTCGCTTGATAAACCCAGTTTTTAAAATATTTCTTCCTGAAAGTTGTGTTCCTATTCAACTTTGTTCCCGGGAAATTTCCGTACTATTCGCCACCGTCTCCAAATTTTCGGTAGTTTAGGTCGAATAGAAAGCGCTCATTGTGTGTTCCACTGGAGCGGAATGTAGACAATGTCGCTAAAGCGTTTTCACTCGTTTTCAGCCATAGCTAGTAAAAAAATTCTTACCTTCGGCGACAATGTAACAAACTAATATACACCTTTAAATATTGGTTTTTTTTCCTTGGCTACTTCCTCGATCGGTTGTCTCAGTTTTTTTCAGTTATTGGATACCAATCCGCGGCAGGTGAAGGGGGCGGGGGGAAAACCCTGTCTCTCGAAAATCTCGGTAATTATCAAGTTCTGGATGCTGCTTTGTTTTTGCCCTATTATTAACTGTGAAAAACGAGGTTGTCATACTTTTAAGTTTGTATGCAATAGAACTATCGGTGAAGAAACCAAAATGAGCTGCACGGTAACTCGTTACCAGCACCTGTTCAAGACTACCTTAACTTCACTTCAGTTCATTTAAAAAAATGACTTTGGCAAAAAGAAAAAGAGAGAAGCTATCTCTGTTGGAGAAGTGGCCGCGAATCAGTGAAATTTACAGAGTTAAAGTCCATCTCTGACCATCAGTTAGAACCGTCCCAGGATAGTCTCACCAATTAATCGTTGTTTCCTACAGTTAGCATTTCGAACCCTTTGAAATTTGCCCCGCTTCACTCTCCAGTGTACTGTTAGCATTACAAGCGGATAATTTTTTTAATTAAATTAGCTTATTTTGTTAATAAATTTTACGACCTTACAGCCATAACAGCAAAAGGTGAAAGATCTTTTGTACCAGCTGCTTCAAATACGAAACGACACTTAACCGCGTGAAATGCTATTTCACACGAAACATTGTTCATAAGCAATGAACCATACAACAGACGTGGCGTGGTCTATTGTCAATCTGTTTAACTACTGGATCAAATACTACAGTAAGCGTGTAGTTTCATTCATGGTAGCTTACTTAGTCTTCCACCCATTTATCAAATTGTTTCATGAAAAATTATGGGAAGACAAAGTTAAAATCGCTGTGAACGTTATACTGTCACAGTATAAACCTCACTTTGTAAAGGTACTCATAAAGGTTTGCCAGCCAGTTTACTTACCTGCATCTTGTCTTGTCCAGCGGAACACATACAACTTAAACACAAAAGCAACTCTATGATCTTGAGACATCGTCCATTTGTACTACCCATGACTGCGGAGTTGGACAGATTTTCTTCGAAGAAACAGAATACCCCCAAAATGCAAACAGTTAGTCGAAGAAATCCATCAATTTCGAAGAAAAGGTATGACTGTAATTGTGTTGTTATTTAAAATCTTTAGCTACCAATCCAATGCTTGAACCACGTTTCTCCATACCGTTGTATATCAGACTACTTAAGCACAATGTATCCTACTGTGTCCATTCCTACCAATTCGACTGTCATCAATTCCGATAATTTTTTACGTCTGGCAATACACGATTTCCTAAATATTTCACCGGCGTTGTGTCAATTAGATTAACTGAATACACACTCATAACTACCGTGAGCAAAACATATAAAACACTTGCCAAAATAAACTTAAACCAATTTTTTCCACCAGATAAGTTTGGAATAATTGACGCTCCGTTGCACCTGACTGAATAAGAATTGAGAAGAGTAAAGACGAATAGATCTCGATCTTACCTTAATATGAATTTATCTTTATCGTGATTTATTTCTCTTCACCCCGTGTATGACATATAAAATTCTTTAAAATTATGACAATGTTTCAGAGGGTTTCGCCATGTTCTATGTTTGTTTTTGATCGCTAATTTTCTAAACTGGTACCTTTCCTTGTTTATGATAGATTGACCTGCTGCGGGGATGTTGATTGGCCTATTCTAATTGGTTTACGTGTGGTATAACAACTTTAAGTGGAAAAGAAGTGAAAAATTAATGATTACCGCGAAGAAAATCTTGGGCTCAACATTCCCCGTTACGTTTAGAAAATACTGGCGATTTGTTGAATCAACTTTCCTAATATTTGCTCTTTTGTCGTAGTGATCGGCCGACGATGTTTTATAAAACCCAGAGTAACTTTTGACCTAAAAAAATTACTCTGTACTCTAATTTTGAATTCTTATATCATACCCCTTGTATGCCGGCATTTTCAAATGACTCAAAGGCTTTTTGACTGATTTGAAACAAGAGAGGCATGGTGACTTATTGACCATAGAATCATTTTCCCGCCTTTTCGACAATCTCTTTGGTGGTAGGAGATGCCCTTTAAACAGGAAGTAAATTAATCAGGAGAATCTGTCAATTTTTAATCAAGGAAAATCACAATTTCGAGTGAAAAAGTGCGGTGAACATAATGATCAACACCAAAGTAATGTTTACAAATTTTTTTTATAATTATAGTCACACCTTTGTTTAAGGTCAAACATCTTGTAGGTGCAAATAGAATTACATTTTTATTGCCCGTCTGACACGCCATAATCTTTGACTTTTATAATTATTAAATTACGGATCATGCTATCTATGTTCTAAATAATAACAAAAAATAAAAAACGCAGTTCCTCATCAACAAATGAAAGTTCCCAAATAAACGTTCATGTTCATATGCAGCGAGATTGTTTGTTAATCTCAAAATGGAGTAAATTTCTGTTTATTGTAGGCGTATTGCTGCCACAAAAACAAAAGATAAGAGTCCACCGATGAAATTCTTCTTTTTCTTGTCTCGCTACCATATTTTCTTTCGTAGATCGCGCAATCACCAAATGACGTAATGCGAAAGATTGATTGGACACTCAGTGCACAGTTCTCGCTCCAAAATCATAACCCGCCATTTCCGAATTTTCGACTAAAACCTCTTTTTCCCTCTGGTTTACTTTTAAGGCGTTTAGCACAGACTTGCTTTCAAGAAAGAGTCCAGTATTGCATGAATTACAGCTTAGCTTTCAAAAGCATTTAATCAAAATAATGCCGTCTACGTTTGGAATTTTATAGGGTTAGGGCTAGGGTTATGGCGTCTTGTACTCAACATTTACCTAAAATATTAATATATAATTTCTCCTTTCTTGTGTCGATCTGATCTTGTGCCTGTCTCGCTTAGTGTAAGCTAATGAAAATGTCAATAGCAATACCTTTCTTTCTTTTGCGCATAACGTCCTGAGCACCCGGTAAAATTTGGTCTTTGTTGACAATCACGCCTCGAGCTTCGCGTCCGTTTATTATTTATTCAATTACTGCCACCATATATATGATTCGGAACACACGACAGTGCAGGGTTTCAACCCTAACCCTAATCCTAACCCTAACCTTACGGATAACCCATCCATCCCAGGAGATGTTAGCCACACCAACTGGCTGGAAAGTCTAACCGTTTGCAGATATCATTTATTTTTTTTTTTTGTATTTTAATCAATTTTTTGTTTTGTTATGTTTTACATTTGTTTTACATTCTGACTTATGAACACTGAACACGTAAGGAAAAATACAAAAAACGGAAAGGAAAACTAAACATTATACAACGCAGACTAACACATAATTACATACTTACAAAAAAAGAAAACAAACGAAACAAAAACCCGGTACCTTCTTTTCTATTTACATGAAAAAAAAGTAAAACAAAATAAATAAAAAATAAAGATTAATAATAAATGAAGTAAGCGGAGAAGAGATCGTATGCTAATCAGTTTTATATTTGCCCCATTTCATATTGTGGGTCTCCAACTTATTTTTTGACTTAGCGATCATTGTCTCTATTAAGAAGACAGTATTAATTTTGGAATGAAGAACTCTGATGGAGGGAGGATATTTGTTCTGTCTACAAGAGTATAGATATTGTTTTGCCAGTAATAAAATATGATTCACAAATATCTCATCCTCACATCCAATAATACCAAACAGTATATCTTTGTCTGAAAGATTTTCAATCTTGACCTTATGATCAACAAGCCATTTTATAACCTCAGACCAGAAATTCTTAGTATAATGACAAGACAGAAAAAGATGTTCGAGGTATTCGTCCGATTCACCACACAAGGAGCACGTTGGAGATGGTATAATACCAATTTTGCATAAGAAGGTATTTGTCACAAGGCATCTGTATAATAATTTATACTGAAATTCGCGAGTCTTTGTATCTAAGGCAACACGATATGGCAAGCTATAGATTTTTTTCCAGTTCAAAGTATCATTAACAAAATTAGCATCAAACTTTAGTTTAGCAGTTGGTGGAGTGACGATTCTGTTTCGAAGTTCTTTATAAACTAATAGTTCTTGGATTAAAATCTAAGTCACTTCTCACTAGAATCATCACTCCACAACTATGATTAGAGCCGTGAGCAAAAAAGAGCTTACCTCTCCATTGTGTTCTCCAAATGTCTTGAACGTCAACAGTGCTATAGGTCTCTTGACGGAAGATAATATCATACCTCCGTTCACTTAGCCAAGTAAAAAGGGCTTTCCTTTTCGTGGCGGCTCGAACCCCTCGCACATTAAGAGAAAGTAATTTAAAATCAAAAAGTTCTTTCATGAATGGGATCAGGAAGAAAAAATAAATTATGCGCATACAAATAATTTTCACCGCAGTGGTACAAAAAATCGAAAAGAGGTGACAACTGAGGTGCAAAAACACACAACACGTAGGTAGACAATACACACAAAACGCACAAATACTCACAAAACAAAAAACAACAAAGGAAAAGACAAAAGGACAAATAAAACAAAGAAAAACAAACAAACAAAGAATACACAACGAGGTTTTAAGAAAGAGCGAAAAAAGGCGGCGAGGTAATTATTACCTATAAGACGCTGCCACAGAGCTTGGGACAATCGTTTCAACTACACCCAATTGTTCTAACCTACACATGCCACTCCCGTTACAAAAACAGACTGATGAAAAGCATAAACAAAGTCAAATAAAATAAACTAAGTCCAAAAAAAAACCTAGATTTGTCTATAAGGGAACAAATCGTCCATCGATAAACAATTTATCGGGTTCTGGTTTGCTAAAGAAAGCAGTCTTTCCCTCCTCTCTTGCTTTTTTGAGACGTGGCCACTGCTTTTTTCTTCTTTCGCTTATTTCTCTAGGAAAATCCGCGTAGACCTTAACGTCGATATCATCCGCCAGCTCGCGTACTCTCTCGAAAGACCAGCTCACGCTCTGGAAATCTCAAAAAACGAACAATCACCGGTCTAGTTTCGCCCGTCTTCTTCTTTCCTATTCTGTGAGCTCGCTGGAATTCAATATCTGCTGCGTTTTCCATCTCCAATTCGTCGCTAAGGAATTTTCGTATAACTTCATGCGTGTTCTTAGCTCCATCAGCAGATTCTGGAAAACCGAAGAATCTTAGGTTTTCTCGCCTGTTGTACACCTCTTGGTACAATATTTTGTCCTCAAGTTCCTTGATTTTGACTTCGTTTTCCTTATCATTCTTCTTTAGGTCTTCAATTTCGGCGTTTGCAAATTCCATTGACTTGCTGAGGTCGTTAACTTCGCCTTCCAATTTTCTTGTCTTCTCGCCAATCTTATTCAGCTCGGTTTCGAGCTTATTAACCGACTTCTCCAAAGCGGAGAAGCGTTCAAATATACCTTCTAGATTCTGTAACCTGCTTTCTACTCCTGCAAGCATTTCGAAGATCCGTTCCAATTGTGTCGCGATTTTTTCTGTCATGTTCAGGGCCTCCAGAACTTGATCGTCCTCGCTAAATACTACGCCAATGTTCGGTTCCGAACGAGGACTGTTGCAAGCCTTTTTTCCTTCTGGAGAGCAAATATCGCTATCGGAGCTGATACTAACACTTGCCTTCGTTTTCCGTTTACAACTTTGAGCCATAGACTAGGTTTAAGGACTAAAATTTTTTAAAAAAGGACAAAAAGTTCACGGGAGTGAAACATCCACGTCTTCACTCGCACATGGTCGCCCCAGTCTCTCTTTGCAGATATTATTGCAAAGGCAGCACTTTCTCCTTACAATACTAATTTAAAGACCCAGAGTGTCCAGGGTTGGAACCTGCGACCTCCCGCTCAGCAGACCGGCGCTCTCCCAACTGAGCTTACCAGGCGCTGGCTGAACTGTTCTGTTCAGCTTACCTTTGTAGTTAATTTCGAACCGGCCGATGGTTAAATTTCCTAAGTGCCATTTTTAACCGTTTTGAGATATTTTTCACCGTCAAGTGAAAAAAAAAAACATGATTATTGGTGAATAGAATCATTGTTGTTATGCTTTTTGGTTAAAAACAGAACTAACTAATTATAGAAATTTTAAGATAACGCCGCGCCCAGGATTTATCCCCAGGCAGTGCCTAAAATTAAACTTTTATTTGCTTCGTTACTATGGTAACGAGAAAAACATCACGTATTGAATATTGGATTATCCGAGCTTTTCAATTTTTTGCATAGACTAACGCTTTCTGGCGAATTTTGGACTCATAACGGGATTCATTTATATATACGTACGATTAGTATTCCAAAACGTTTTGAAAGAATCGCTCCTGTTGAGAGAAAAAAAATAAATCATGATATCATAAGATAAACGTTACTGTGGTTTCCAATAAAAATGTATGTCAATAAAGATCAAATTAACTTTTTGTTCGTGTCGTTACCTTAGTAATTTCCACAACAACACAGGCGGAAAAGTATCAATATTTTGCATAAACGTCTCAATTGGCAGTATTTTTCTCTTAAGCAAAATTGACGTACGCTGATCAAGCTATCAAACAATATGCCGAAGTTATTGCCATCTTTTAAAAGAAGAAAACCAAGATCATTGTCCTTGAATTGTGCACAAATTGAAGAAATAGTTGCTGAAGGAAAAAACATCAATGAGCTTCAAAGTCCGCGATCTGCAACCTGGCGCGGGGAACTATGTTCAGCTTCGAAAATGGGAACATTCTCAAGAAGAAAACTCAGTCGACAGAAAAAGAACTTAATGGTCCAGGCAGTTCCAAAGTTCTCCTTCCTATCGTTGTGGTATTCAGTGATGAAAAGCCAGGATTTAAGGAGCCAATACATCAAGAAAAGAAAGAAGAAAGACACTAGAGTTTGTTTTATTTGCTTGAGGAGCTTGTGATCCTAACTGTCGCAGTAATTCCTAAATGTTTCTAGTTATTGCGAAATAAAAAAAAGGAAGGGTGAATTTAAAAAAAGGAGACTTCAGCTACTTTTCTTGCCCGGGGGGGGGGGGGGGGGTAAAAGAGTAAAGATGTAACTGTGTTTTTGTTTTTTGTGATGGTGGATCTTTTTAGCTGCAAAGGTAATTGATGTAGAAGGTTTGTTTGGTTGTCAAAAAAAAAAAAGAAGGGAGGGTGGGAATGAAAAGCGGGGCTTGCGGTTGTTTTGGTGGGGGGGGGGGGGGGGGGGGGTACTTCTGGGAATTCTTGGTGGGGGTGTGCTGCCCGTTTCCTCAAACTCAAATCGTGAACCGATTTCAGGCCAAAAAATGTAATTTTCCACACCCGTTTTAAGACTAGACCTCTAAAATCCATATCCGTTTTCAGACCTGGCCTTTAGGCAGAAATTATGTTATCATTACTTAGCCGTTAGAGCGCAAACAAAAAATTATTCAAATCCATTTCGAATGCGCATATTTTTCTTTCTCTCTTACGTTCATACATCCCGTAGTTCCCTCGGAAACCATACCTGATTCCAGACCAAAATGGGCAAACTGTGCGCCCGTGTTCAGACCAAAACGGCGCAAAAACCCTACCCGATAGGGCGGCACGTACCTCTGTGGCTTATATAAGGGAATACCCGCCCCCCCGGTTTCCTTGGCAGTCGCCAGCAAAAAAAAAATTACATACGAGGTGTTATTTACATTTCAGCCCGATCATGTTAATTCCGTTCATGATATCCGAGATTTAATTGCAATTTCCCGCCCTGAAATTTATTACACTGAGAACAAGTGAGACATAGTTTGACGACCAACAAGTCTATTAACCTTTGTTAGTATGAATTCACACTAGTTATGCAATGCTTTTGAGTGGTATACCATGAAATGTCCGACGATGACTTGATTTTTCTTAATAGACTCAAGAGCTTTAGGCGTAATTGGAAGCATATTTGAAACTGTAATACGGTCGTGTAATGAAGGTCAGCGGATGCAATATTTTGACAGCTGTCAATTGACCTTCACATAGATGACGTATATAAGTGTAGCATTTTACATCGGCTTACATAGAGAGGGTGGACAGACGGAAACGGCGTGACCAACAGATCTCGTTTCCAAGGTTTACCAAATTTTGTTACCTGTAATGTTCTACTGCGCACCCTAGCCTTCGCCTGCGCGAGTCTATCTTTCTATTTATATCACTCGCAAGATGATGTCATGGATTCTAACCTAAATATTAAGAACCAAAAACGAGAAGTCCAACCTAAACAGAAGACAACGAACACGTCAAAGAGATATTTCTTTTCTGCGCTTTCATACGCGGCCTTCATGTTGCCATTGTTATACGGGATGCTTCTTTTCCCTAAAAGGGAAATATTTCCATGGAGTTAAATGACAACAGAAAATCATAAAGAAGTCAGTTGTACCTCGTACATGTATAGCCATGTGTTACCATGTATAGCCATGTATTACCATGTACTGCCATCTGTATACATGTATAGCTATGTATTGTCATGTATCACTGTGTAGTGTTTGTTTGTTTGTTTGGTAATTTCCAAAACAAAATGGGCGGAATAGTGCAAAACAGATAAAATGTTTTGCGTTAACTTTCAGTTGGCAGCATTTTTTCTGTAAAGCCGATTTATAGTACGCTGACCAAGCTATCAAACACTATGCCGAAGTTCTTGCTATATTTTAAAAGAAAAAAACCAAGATCCTTGTCTTTGAATTGTGCAACAACTGAGGAGATTTTTGCTGAACGAAAAAATAGCGGCGATCTTTAAAGTCCGCAATCTGTAGCCTCGCGCCGCAAGTTATGTTCAACTTCGAACATCGGAACATTCTTCACACCAAAACAAAGACGTCAGAAAAAGAACTTAATGGTCCTGGCGGTCCCAAAATTCTCCTTCCAATTGTTGTGGTATTTAGCTGTAGAAAGCCTGGATTTCAGTAACCATTATACCATTTTAAACTAGACTTGAAACTTCTTTGCTGAGACTAGCTAATGTATACTGTTGCAATGTAAGTGCACTTTCTCGAACCTGAGATTTAAACTTAAGTTTGACGACCAGCAAGCCAATAGTTATGTTTTGTTACTATCTGTAAATACAGGATTCAACACTATTCCATGTTCTGTTTAAAAAGTGCCTTCTCTAAGTAAAAGCCTCCTCATCTTCATTTCCATGCAAGAGATTCGTTCGTTAAGTCATTTTTTAAAAAAAAAAGAAATAGAAAAAAAAACTTGTTTGAAAACCAACAATCTCATAGTTGGTGTATTGATATCAATAGGTGGCGTAAAGCAAACTATCGACCGGAAACTGTTAAAGATTTCAGAGTTAATTAAGGAGTGCGTTATAATTAAACTCAGCGAGTCATTTTTGGTTAGGGGTAACGCTTAATTTAAGTTTGTGTGACGTTTCTATTCAATAAAGTCATGTATATCAGTCTCTCTGTATTAATTCGTTAAGCCCCGGTGTGGTATTCAGCTCGGATGGGCCAAGAAAGCACGGATTTAAAGCAGAGATAAACTGACATTAGCGGAATTGAACCAAGCACGATTTTAATGGCTGCCAAATTCCCCTTGCTCACAAATGAATCTACTGCGCAAACCCTAATGGCAAATACCACGGCAACAACCTACACACGGTTCAGAGGCTCTACTTCACACGAGCAGAATCGAATTCAATGAATTGAACTCATTTTTAGAAGAGTGTCTGAATCAATTCAAATCTGCTAAGTGAATTTGGATCGGCTCAGCTCAGCAGCGAATAACAACTGTGGACTGGCGTTGACTCAGACGCCGACCGCCACATGAACCGAACCAAATGCATACATTTTTTAATGTATTTATGATAAATTTTGATTTTCCCTTATTTGAAATAAGTTCGGCTGGATTGAAGATCGCCGTCTGAATCAAGAGACCCTTTCAGTATCTTTCAATTTTTGATTGGGACCAGTAAAATCCATCAACACCACTCGAAAGAACACGTTAAAATCAGTACATTTGCCATGATTTCGAGTGATTTGATAAAAAGATAACGAAAATAATAGTTCCCCAAACTCGCGAAATTTTACTGACGTTTGTGTGGTGGAAGCAAATTGTTATCCCCTCCCCATACGTACGGAAAATTTCGCGACTTTGTGTATCATTATCTGCCTGGTCATGGTCAGGTGCCTTAGGTGTCACCTTAAAACTTGGTAAGTAATCGATTATAGGTCAATTTCAAAATTTGGGGAAAAAGGCGGTCTCTTCAACCAACCTACATTAACATGTGTGGACCTAAATTCGAATTCGACTCGGTTCATATGAAATACGACGTCTGAACCAGACCTAACTCATCATTTTTCCTCACCACAGAGTAAGTTACCCAGTTACCTAAAGAGTGAACGAAGATAATCTAAGAAAAAAAGCGGGAATATAAAAAATATAAAAGAAACAACAACAACAAAAATTCGGTCACACATTACTAAAAATTTGCTACGTTATCTTCTTAAATTTGAAGCCCGGAGTTACTTTCATGACAATGGTTCACTTCAACCTGGAATTTTTTTTAATTCTATAAAATACAGGCAACTAGTCCTTTTGACCTTACCTCGCTGAAAACCTCAAAATTCGTTAACACACATTCTTTTCATTAATTTAATTTCTTTTAATTATTAGCTTTTATAGTTATTGTAATTATTTATAGTTATTTTTTTAACTTATAGAACTTTCTGAATTCCATTGCAACTAATTAACAATTCTTACAGTGCATCACTGTAGCCCCTATTTGGTGGTAACAATTATTAGACAAAAACAGCCAGATGTTATAGTATTTCTCTAACTACAAAAACAAAACTAATTATCATATACTTGATTTCATCGCTGAGGAATTTAAATGTTACATCTAGGATCTAAACCTACTCGAGCGCGAAGGTCAAATCTGCTTGTTCGTTTCCTCACCCAAGGAATAACAAAAGATCCTTCATCAAACAGAAAGAACTGTCCTTTCTCTTGTCCCATGATGAGATACTCTTTCCTCTCTACAAGCTCTGGACATTGGCAGCCTGATCGCTTTTTAAATTCAACAAAGTCTCCCTTTTTCAAGTCGGTTTTTTTCTTTTTGATTACCTCCTTTATTGCTATGTCGTAGGTGATCCAGGATTGTTTTCTAAAGTCGCGTTCGTCCAGCAGAAGCACTTCGCCTATAAAAGCTGAAATGCGTTAAGATCAAAGTTAGTGCGGATAAGGTTATCAAGCATCGCAGCATCCTTTAACTTTCCATGTTGCAACCACTATATGATGACAACACTGTTAATAACTGCTCTTCTTTGGTGCAAAATTGCTTTGAAATTCAGAAAACTGTGAATACCGTGAACATCTCTGAAATGTTAATATGGCACACTTAAAAAGCTGACCAACCAGGTGTGGAGGGATTTTTTTGTCAATTAACCAAATTTCAAGAGTACTGTTTGCGTCCCATTCACCCAACATAACATCAAAAAGCAAACAAACAAAACCAAGCTTAATCCACTATTTAAAGTGCCGATGGGATTCTTACCAAAGTCAAAATCGCTGCAGACCTTACTCGCCAACTCGGGAAGAGTAAATGAACGCCCTCCAACACAGGAAGAGCAGTCATCTGAAAATAAGAGCAAAAACTACCAGATATACATCTTATTATATTGAGACACGTAAGGTAAGTTAGGTTATTAGTTCAAATATGCCATCCAGAAGGTGGTGTCTCACCTCTATTTTCTCTTCCTCCTAGGTTTGTGCATTAACTCACCTTCCCATAAACAGAGATATAAGAAAATGACCACCACAGCTTTTTATCAGGAAAGATGAACATTTGTGTATGCTAACCCATTCGCTCCTGGAGATTTTGCCGAAAAACGCCTTTTGAAGCTAGTCGAGTGGTTTTCTGGTCACTGTCGTGCTATAAAGAGTTAAAACTTACCACAAACCGGTTTACAGGTCGTGCACTTCGCGGCCTTCTGATCCAGATGCAAAATATCAGCTTGCCAAGTTCGGGCATGCGCAGAAAGTAAAATTTCGAGTGACAAAAAAAAGTGACACAGCAGTCTTGACTTTTACTTTTCATTACTCATTTTTTTTTCTCTTGCTGGGCATTTATGCACCTATCAATGTAAATCCCGTTGGGGGGGGGGGGGGGGGGGGGGGCAGCGGGGGGGGATTTTTGTCGCGGCGGCATTTTTCTATTGGGGTTTTTTTCGCCGGCAATCCCGCCCGGGGGCACGGCCTTTTTTTTGTTAATGTAAAAACTGGCTTTACTCTCAGAGGGCGTGACCCAGACCCGCCCCCGAGGCCTCGTTAGGCCCAAGAAAAGGAAACTTTTGGGGGACAAAAATAGGAAGGCTTGTGTTCGTGATTTTTGTCTTGCTTATGTTTTTTTTTTGTGTCGTGGTTGCACTCTCATCTGCTCTGAAATTTATAGGGGTGGGGGGGGGGGGGGGGGTATGCGGGCAAGGGGCGGGTATTTGATGCCTGAGACTATCTTCCTGTTGGGCTTTTGATCGTGCGAATCGACCCCGGGGTTCGGACATTTGACTTTGACTGACAGAAACCTGGTATCAATTCAGAAGCGGTTACCAAGTCCGTCCCTCGAGGCTTTCTGAAAGTCACGCTGTTGGAGAAAGGTGTGAAGTTTTGATTTGTTTTAATCGCCATAATCCGCTACTTTAAACTGTCATCTAAACATATAATGTCTATTTCGAGAAAGTTTTTATCTTCAAGTTCCCATCTGATTGTAAAACTCGATTGAAATCGAATTCCACCATGAAAGTCAGAGGATTTTTTACGGGTCACTGATCCGACCTGTTCCGAGATGTTGAGCAGATGTTATAAATCATTTTACGTTTCATTAATATTATAATAGCACGGTCAATCTTCCTAGAGTGATTTTGTTGTTCGAAATAAGAGATGCTAGTGAAGAGAGAAAATACTTAATTACAGCGAGTAATTTAACGGGGTTTACGTTTAGTAAAGACGTACTTTTGAAATGTTCTTTTAATTCGTTTTATACGGTAGTATCGTATTGTTTGTTTGGATTTTTCCCCTGGGGTGGGGGCTTTTTTGACACTTTTGATTGACCTTTCGTTTCCCACCCTGGGAAATTTGATCAAAAAATGTTAAAATTTGTCAAATCCCCACCCCTTTCCCGCACTCCCCCCCCCCCCCCCAAGGCTTTAATATTTTGAGGGAATCTATCCCAGGCCACTTTCGAGTGAAAAATTTTTCCCCGGAGATTTTGCTTTGTAAAATGAGGGTGAAACATAAAAAATGGAAAGGCAGCTATGCAATATTTTCTGTTCGTAAATCGTCGTAAGAGGAAAAAAAAAAATAAAGACGCAATTTATCATAAACCCCCCCCCCCTCCCCCCCCCCCCCCCCCCCCCCCCACGGGGTTTACTGGGAAAGCTTTTAGGATCTTAGGATTAGGTGAAAGGAAAGGTAGGTGAGCAATGGAATACGATTTTCATGGAGATTTTCAGGTCAATGTCACATGGTCTTTTGCTTCTTTCTCCGGTGTCCTTGACTGAATTGTGCTCATTCTGGTATGGTTTGAAAGATCTCTTCACTATGCATAATTTAGTGGACAAAGTTGTCCTTGACCGTTAAAACTGATGACGTCACAAAGGGTAGAAAGGACGTGGATCCGCATGGGCGGTTACGCGCGGTTCAGGGGCGAATGGGTTAATTTTGGAGATGTAATAGCAACGAAATGACATCATTACCTATTTTTCTCGCAGCCGCATTTCTCGACACTGGGAGACTTTTTCTAAAATCGTTCACGGCAGCATGTTCATTAAATAGCTGCCTCAATATATAATTCGTAAAGTTTGAGCAAAATCTGTGGGAGACTTTTTTCTAAAATCGTTCACGGCAGCATGTTCATTAAATAGCTGCCTCAATATATAATTCGTAAAGTTTGAGCAAAATCTGTGGGCGTTAGCGAGATACTTTGGGATGAAGTTTTTATGGATAGAAAGACCGTTAAGAGTGGACAATCTTAATGGAAGACCATTACCAAAAGGAACCATGTTTGAAATGCGATTTGATTTGATTTTCATTCTTTTTAAAATCAGTGACGGCAAAGAAATGTACAAAAAAGCGTACCGTACCGTACTGGGGCTCCGTGTCCGGGCACCAAGTGTGAACAAAGCCATATACATTTTTGGAGAAACGGTGGACACATGCACGATTTCTTGCCAAATTGGAAGAATGCGAACAAATAGATAGGGATAGATTGCGACCATTTACAATTACTAAAAAGTGGCGTTTGAGCAAATAGTTTATAACATAATCATTTTCCATGTTTGAGGTCTAACCAAGTTATCATCAAAATCAATTTTAAAGGCAAAATGATAAAATGGTCCCTGTAAATTATAATACCTTGAGAGCATTTACAGTAGCCGTCTTGGCACATTCCCGCCAATAGTGCACTTCGTGCCTTCGGTGAATAGAATTCCGTACAGGAATCATCTGTTGCGATAGAAATGAATAAACAAATATTCAATTAATCTCCGAATATCACTGAGTTAAGCCCTTGTTCAATTTCTTTTCTTTTTTTTTTTTCAAGCTCTAAATAATCATACACAATTACCAAGTATGGTGAGAATTACAAAATTACCAGAAGCAATAACACACCTGGTTTATAGTAGTCGTAAACCTTCACTGGCACTGGTTGGACAGTTCCCACGTCATTGATACGGTTCACCATAAATTTGGCACAAAACTCCCTGTCACTAGAAATCTTTCAGGAAAGATAGATGCCCACAAGCAGAAAAAAAATTAAGTTCAAAAGTAGCGAATTTAAGCATTTGTTTACTGCACATCAATATTCCTATGCGACGTCACTCCTGGCGGAAATTGGAATAGCCCTACTTATAATTTGCCACTCTCATTGTACGTAAACAAATATATTTTAATAACCGTATTTATTCGAATAAGCGCCCAACCTCGAATTAGCGCCCACCTCGAATAAGCTCCCATTCGAAAGGCCGAAAAAGTTAATAAGCGCCCAGCCTCGAATAAGCGCCCACCCCACCCCCTCCCCCTCCCAATCAAACTGAAATAAGCGCCCACGCCCACCCCACCCATTTGAGTGATAATAACATTGAAACTGAAATTGAATAAGTACCAATAAGAGACCTCCCCGAAGACGGAGTGTTCTCCCGAGTATTTTACAGAAACCTTGCTTTGTTACTTCTTCGCGTTTTGTTACTGGCATTTGCTGTTTTGTTGCAAAATAAAAATACTACACTAACTGCTGAAAATGGTGAAAATTTAATAAGCGCCCAGCCTCGAATAAGCGCCCACTCTCAAGATCCAAAAATATAATAAGCGCCCAGGGCGGTTAATTGAATAAATACAGTATTTGTGTTTTTTTATTTTTTGGAATGTGGCATTAAGCAACTTCGGTAAAAACCTCACTTAGGAAATTTCTTCTATCAGTCAGTCATCAAAACAGCTTTTCTATCCATTGTCATTTAATCGAGTAACGGATGAATTGGTTAACTTCATTTCAGGAAAGAAAAAAATAACCGCCAAAAAGACTGCACAGGCATTGAACACCAAACAATAGGTAACAAGAAAGAACGATTTGTTTTACCTCGCTGACATAGAGTATCACAGATCTATCAGAAACTTCAAATCTGTCCACAGTTGGACGAACGTTTTCCATCAACTTTAAAAGACAGCAAAACATTAATAGTTAACGTTGGTCTATGAATCCTTCTTAAGTAAACTTAACGTGGTTGATACCATTGAGATCAAGGAAAGCGAAAAGTACTTTCGCCTGAGCAAATTAATTCCTGGGTTATTTTGCTGTGACACTAGATTTCGATCCTGATGATGAGGTTTCTGTGATAAATAAAATAAAAATACAAGATGTTTTTCATTCCTCAGATCCTATAGTTAGCTTCATCCAATTTCTTGCTAGTTATGATAGCTTCAATGTCGTTAAAATCGGGAGCTTAAGCAACGACGACGGCGACGTCAACGAGAACGGCAAAAAAAACGATTGTTTTAGATTGACAAAACAACAACCCTGCACGCTTTTTTGTACATTTCTTTGCCGTCACTGCACGACTACGACGTGAAAATGCCTAATTTCACGTTTTTTGAAGGACGTGCTGAACAAGACAAAGACTTTCTTTTTCTTTTCCGAACTTCGATGCAGTCTTTCAGAATCCAACTTCAGAAAAAAATTGCCAATATTCGACCAATTGAGATGGAATATTAGCACGCTAAAGTTTGAATACGCGAGACTTCACTTTTCGCCTTCGTCATTGCTTTCCGTGCGATTCCCGTGATATGTCCCAGAAAACCGAACTAATGCCTAGTCTAGTAATAGAGTTAACTACCGCATCAACAAAAACAAAAACAAAAGCAACTTCGACGTCTGGATTTGTTTATGGGAACATGCTGTAAGTGTCAGAATGTACTGAAATATTGTTGGCAAGTTACCTCTATCAGCGATTCCTTATCAGGAGAAAAACCAGAGAAAACACCTATCTCCATTATTGTCATCCCGGTTTTGCCTTGTTTTAGGTATCTATCGATAAAATTCAAAGTTCAACAATTGTTATTAGCCCTTAGAAATGATCACAATTAATAAATCATAATTTTCAATCTTGCTTGGCAATCTAACATTTTCAGTTTGAATTCTCACAAGATCCCTGCTTTCACCCGTTTGCACGTGTCGAGCTCGTCTAAAATATTTCCTGGACCATTCACTTCATTCACTCGATCGACTTTCTACGGGAATACTTGGCAATAGAATGTCTGCCAGAATGGTTTAATGCGACACTCTCACATTTGCAGACTACAGGGCAGTGTCATAAAATTTTTTCCATTATCGTCCGTGGACAAAAATGAGATTCCAGAATCGCTTCAGCATACGTAAGGGAAAAGGCCATAATCGTAGAGGTAGAAACTACATAAAGTTTAGAAGCTTAGGGTCAAACGAACTGTATGCAATAGAGCGGTGTCCCAGTGATGAAGTTGACCGTAAAAGAGTAATTTCTAATAAAGCCTTATTAGCACCATGAATTCGGACCTTTTTTTACATGTATTACCGATTTAGCCATGCATTCAGGTAAATCTAATATTGTTGAGCCTTTGAAACTCGTTTTAAAACTCAAGGCAATTGGGAACTTAAGTGCGTACTTTAAGTAAAGGTTGTTTGTTGTCATATTCAGATGTTAACAACGGCACACAAATAGAAAGTATGTAGAGCATTACAAACCTTGCGCATATTTTCAGCTGTAGAGCATCCGGGACTTTAGCGTCCGTGCTTGGCCTCTTGTGATGCTTCACATTTTTCCGTTTCGTTTTGCAAGATTTTCTCTTCTTTTTTTTGCGGCATTTCTTGGATTTTTTCCTTCGGTTGGCATTATCTCTTCTCCCTCGTGAACGGCCCATGATTGACATCACTTCCTCTTTGCCCTGTTTCGCTTCTTCGCGGACTTCAATCTTAAGAGCAAAGTGGCAGGTTTCGTTCTTTGCTGACGGAACATTATAGTGAACTTCAATCTACAAAAAGGAATTTACAATAAAATACCCCTGGTGGAATCTCATCTTCCGTTACGACGAGAAAAGAAGTCACTCTCTTTATTACCCAGCATTCCGGCATGACCTGAAAGCAGCTTAAATGAGTTAATTGACAAAAAAGCAGTCGGCAATACAGATACGAAAAAAAAACTGACACAATGCATTCTTTAACTATGCTTTGAAATGGCCAATTTAGTTCTGAGGGAGGCCATACAACCTAACTAGTCTCATAACTAATTATACGGCTGATATATTGAATGCTTAGTGTATTTGTTTAAAAGGTTATTTCTGAGGCCTACTTAAGGGATCAATTTGAATTTGGAGAGCTCGTAACCGACTTTTTTATTGTTTTAACTGAGATATTGCTTCAATAAGCGATTGAAAGGAGTGTAAAGGTTATTGGACTTTATTTACAAAGACTGTAATGAAAGAAGTATACTTAGCTTTTGGCGGTATTTCCCTGAGGAATTCATTCTTTAATCTGTCCGATTTTATTAATTCTACTTTATTTAATTTATTCTTTTGATTTACCAAAAGTTGTCCTACGCCACTACCAGAGGAGTCAATAAACAGTTGTCCTCCAAGAAGAGGGGTAACCTGTCAAGACAGACAAACACAGTAATCAGAGGGAATTAATTTATAATTGAATATTGTTTGTTCTAGACATTCAATTGCTAAGATATACGTTTTCACCATTTTAATGACAGCGTTCTCCTTTTGAGTGAAGGGCGACCTTCAACCCGAGAAAAAGACCGAGTTTCCGAGAAATCTTGCTACTTAACAGAGATAGGAGCAGTTGAAAAGGAAAAGCCGTCCTGAAATCCAACACCAAAACAAAGTCGCCCATTCGTATTTTAATGCAACAGTTATCCTGTTTTATTCTTATTTAATTATTGTTTATCTAGATAATAGTCTTACGTCTTCTTGTCTGAGAATAAGGGCGTTGCCACGATCAATATGATACTTCCTTTTCCAGTTGACATCTTTCTCGGAGGAGACAGACACACGTAAGTCAAGTTTTGCACCAGCAGTTTTCTCACTGTATTTTGATAGCGCTTGTAATGCAACACATGTATCCTGGCGAAAAAAATTACGATTTTCATACAGTAAGATTAACACGAATGAGTAAAGGTCGCATAGACTGTGTACAAAGTTTTTGTGTGCGCGCGCGAAATGGTTCCACAGGAGAGGACGAATTGATCGTTTCGCTCATTTTCCCATTATCCGCTGATGATTCTCAGTGTGCACCAAAAATTCCAATGCCTTATAGACCAGGAGTATGCAAAATGTGTAAAATCTGATATCCATACTGTCTCTGGATGTGATTCTAACAATTCTAATTAGCTTTTTAAGTATTGACAAGTACATTTCATTTTTGGGCATATATTGGCAAACCTGTGTTGAAACAAAGCCTCCCTGTGGATCTCTTTGTCCTGTCAGCCATGTAACAATTGGTCCTGAAAACTTCAGCCGTCCAAGCGCCATCTGCGCAAGAAGCGCATAAGCAGTTGTTTCCACGTTTAAAGCGTCATTTCCAACATCCCAGTAACGAACGGCTTCGTCTGTGATGATGAAATATATGCATGAAATACAGTTAGGTAAACATGCGAGGATAAATTAATTTAACTCCTATCCAACGGGCGCATAGAAGAGAGTGCTCTAATCCCCAGTTATCTATTGTGCGCGAGAGTTCTGACAACACTTGAGATTTTCTAGCCACGACCTGGCCATTTCTAGTTCCCTTCTCTAGCTTGTTACCGGTCCGGTGCAAGTTTATCGCGGCTTACGCGGTTTCTTGTTGGACTGCTTTCGTTTGGTGGTCTTTCTTCCTAAACTAATTTCACCACTTCAGGGGAACATTCAAACTCTAATAGCTTGATTAAAATGAGACAACGGAATTAAGTTTTCACCTTTATTAAAGATCATACTCTGAAGAAGTTTTTTGTTCGCCGTGGAGCTCTTGCTGCTGCCAGCTAATGCTAAGGCGTAGGCAGAAAGGGCCAGAATGTTCACTTTGTGGATTCTGTCTAACTCTGTTTCCATGAAAGCTACAGCATCCTGAATATGTTGGCTCTTGTTCTAACAATCAATGGGTTAATAAAGCCATTAGATAGTCTCCAAGTAACCATTAGCTTGAGTTGTATAATGGGTGGCCAATTGGGATAACTTCGACTAAGAATTCATCATTTCATATAAGAGATTTAAGTAACAGTCACGGGAGGGAAACGGCTGACATAAGATTCCCGAGCTACCAGATTCTAGATTCCCTATTATTTAAAATATGTCTTATGGATGAAACAGTCATAGAGCTACTCGTAATATACAAGCGGGTTTACTATTTTATAAAAATTTTATGTGCTCATGAGTAAAGGCTAATTCAATAGTTATCTTATAAAACTAGCAACACAGAACAGACTGAACTGAAAGAATGTATAGTTTATAGCACAGTTAACTGTCTAAAAACTATAGAATCGCCAAGGGTAAGCTACCCCTTCCGATTAAGGATGTGTGAAGTAAGGGCCTCTTCACATGAGTCCCGGTGGGCAGGCTGGCCCCGTTACCCGGGACTAATTTCGCCTTGGGTTCATATGACTGGAAATTTCAGCCCTGTTTCCGAGATGAGAAAAGGCCGAATCTCCTTGCTACGAGTTTTGACGCGAAATGCGAAAAAGAAAGCAAACATGGCGAAAAAAAAAAAAATCATAACTTACGCGCCTATCATAGCATGGCTGTATCACTGCAGTTAAATGGGATGCTTACGATGTGGAAAACACAGCAGGCTAAGCAAGACGATGCAATCCGGTCCGCCAGAGTTCATCCCGCTTTCAATTTACTGAATTTATGTAACTGGGCTGAAGTGTTCGTAAGGTAAAATTTTGTGCCCGCTTACCGAGATCTCGGTAGGAAAAACCGAGTTCTTGGGAACCGTGCCAGCCCGCCCTCTCATTTGAACACATCGAAAATATTACAGAGGATTAAGAGGTAAGGCGAGAACTCGGAAACCGGGCCAGCCCGGTCAAAAGGGCACATGTGAAGAGGCCTTAAAAATTAAAAGTAGGCACCCTTTTCAACGTCCAAGCACGAGAAATTATACACTATAATGCATTGATTCTTAAAGCATTGATGATTAGTAAACCTAGTTAAATGGTTTGCTAGAACGTTCTCTAGCGCGGCTTTTTAGGTCCAGCCTTACAAGAAACCACAGCACTAAAAACGACCCCCTTAACTAGTAGTTAAAAATTGAACTGACCTGACCATGACATCTGCATTCCAGGAGAGACACAATAACAAAGGCTGTCATGGCCACTTCTCCATGAGTTCCACCCTAAATGGAAAGTGAAATAACTGAAAAGTACCATCACCTCAAATTAACATTGCCTGAGTGGCAAAATGTAAAACCTTTATTGGTTGATAAAAATCGTTCGAATAAGTAACGTGAGGAGAGCTATTTTAAAAAAGAAAAGTTGCAAGGCTAAACAAAACACGCATGATGGAAAAGTAACTTGTAAGCGAGGTGATTACAATTTTTAATGATCAATACTCCAAATTTTTTACGTAAAAAGGGGTCATGACAAATTAATTGCCCGATGGGTGGAAAGAAATGTTAGGAAGATTCTTTATTTCCCATAAAATTACTTTATAACAGGTATAAATTGCACCTAGTTGATCTCAGAAACAAAATCGGTCACAGCAAGTCAATGTCTTACGACGAGCTGCTCAATACGGCTAACATGCAATCCTTATATTGTAGGCGTTTACATCAGGAGTTAATACTTCTTTTTAAACGCTTAAGTGGTACGGGACCTACTTATATTAGAAACCTTTTTACATATAGGCATACACCGTATGGGCTAATAGGCGAGGGCTTGAACTTGGAATTACCTAATTTTAATCTTTAATTTAAAAAGAATTCTTTTACTTATTTATCAACTAAGCTATGGAACAGTTGGTCCTCTCAAGTACGTCTTTCAAGTGATACAAATGACTTCAAAAGTAAATTGCAAGATTGTAGATTTTTAGAACGTGTCTTATAGTTTTCCTCTCACTTTTTTAGTGTACGGCTTTTTAGTAGGTTTAAGCATTTTATATTTTACGCTTTTATTACTACGTTTTTGTATATGTATTGAGTTGTTTTTAAAATAGAATAAAATTGTAATATAGCGCTATAATTATTATAGATTCTATTTATAAACGTTCATACAGTTTTGAACGAGTTTTTTAGCTCCTAGACGCAACGCGTTAAGATAAATGATTGATTGATTGATTGATTGATTGATTGATTGATTGATTGATTGATTGATTGATTGATTGAGGTGTGTGGTATTTAAAATGTCACCCCTTACACTGGGTACCCCTGAAGGGTTACACCTCTTAACTTTCTCTGTAAAGCTTTATATTAATCATATTGATCTGGCAGTTTTAAACCTAGAAAGGAAAATTAACCTACCATCATGGATTTATGAATTATGTCCTTCATTTCAGGAAAAGCCCCATCTTGACGTTGATTTTCCAGAATCCAACTTACTGAGTCACAAACAAGATTTTCGTCGATTGCAATCCCATCAAATTCATTTTGTGCAGCACAAAACACTCTCGCAGCAAACGCAGTGAGCCTGTAATAAACAATGAACACCATGTAACAGTAACGTTATTGGAAGAACGCTCGCTGGGGTCTGCAGCTAGGGGTCAATAATGGGGACTACATGAAGCACATTCTGTCACCTTGGCTGCTTCCTAGTAGCTGAGGGGAAAGGGGCCGACCAGCGACAATGCAGTACCAGTTGAATGATTCTGGTTACAATGTGGAAGTACCAAAATCCCCGTAAGGAAATCAAGGAGAAACGTGGGAGCATGAATCAAAAGGCAAAAGCCGATTAAAATCCAACTGATGATGATAATGAAGATGAATCCAAGGCATTTTAAAATAACTGAAATAATGCCTTTTTGGTTTGTAAGGCCATTAAAAGGTTTAAGATGAGAATACAACAGGTGGAATAATGGCTTTTGGAACTATTCATAACAATCAATCCACGTCAATAGAGAACTAGTGTCGACGAATAGGGCAAAGCCTATCGTGATTATAGTGTCGCATCTATCTGCTTTTAAACTCGCTTTGTTAATTTAAATTCAAATTTGTCTTTAGTTAGCTAGTGTCCCGTACCAAGTGCTCCCAGGGCGAGATTCTCCAAAAGCGCTGAAGGACTTGTCAGCTCTTCGGTAATTCAAAGCTCGTTGATAGCCTGGAATCGGTATGAAAAATACCATTACATATATATCTAGTAGAACAAGGGTGGCGCAGTGGTGAGAGCAATCGCTTCCCACAAATGTGGCCCGGGTTCAAATCCTGGCGTCTACGCCATACGTGGCTTTTTTGCTCCGAGAGGTTTTTCGCCGCGTACTCTAGCGTTCCCCTCTCTTTAAAGACCATCATTTCTAAATTCCTATTCGACCAGGAACCAGGTAGACGAAGAACCACCAAGTGGATGTGCTTCCTCTATAAATCCTTACTGTCATTCATTCCTACGATTACAGGCAAGATGACGATGTATCAAGAGCTTATAAGCCATTATAAATCAAATGATTTTCTGTTAGGCGCCACTCAAAGCTAGTGAATTTAACAGCGATTCTCGGACTGATGTACTCTTCACTTGTTCTTCAACTTGTTCTGTGTTTTAAGCTTACTGTGTTTAAAGTATTAACATCATTAAACTTACTATTTGCAATAAAGTATTAAGTGGTTTGAGCGTTGTTGAATAAAAGACGCGATTTCAGTCTCAAAATCATTTACTGCAAGATGCAAGGTAAGGCAAAATAAAAGTGATATTGAGTGATTCCTTACATGCAGGATAAATACTTGCCTGACTGAATCATTGTGTACGCACGTGACTCTATTTCAGCGGTGACTTGTCTAGTTTGCGACAAATACTGCAAAACGTACACATTTGGAGCCAAGAACATCATGGTCTGCTCGCCACAACCCATGGGCATTCGAAGAAGCGTTTCCAAGCCACCAGA